GTCGCTCACAGAGCAGAAGATCCCCAGTGGAGGAGTCACACGGGTCGCCAGCACGACTCTTGTGGCCAGCACAGCGGTTTCGCAGGCACCTCTGCGCGGCAGCTCTCGGAGCACAGCAAACAGGGCTGGATCCCCTTCAGACCGAGGTTTGGAGGACCCACACGGGCCCCCAGCACGACTCCAGAGGCCGGCGCAGCGGCTATGATGGCACCTCGTCGCGGCAGCTCTCGGCACAGAGTAAACGAGACTGGTTCCCCTTCTGACCGAGCGAGGTTTGGAGCCCCGGGAAGGCAGAGTCACCTATTTTGGACACAAGAAGGAAGCCAGACAGGAGAATCCTGAGCAGAAAAGCACCATCAATCTTATCTCGCTGTTCTGGCCCTGGGAACTAACAACTTGGACGTCCACTCAAGAGACCTAATCTGAAAGTTGGTAATTTCAAAGTCGACAGGAGGATAAATTTACAATGATAGGAAGAAACCCGCGTAAAAAGGCTGAGAATACTCAAAATCAGAACGCGTCTCCCTCTAAAGATGATCACAGTTCCACATTAATAATGGAACAAGGCTTGATGGAGAACGAGCACATCCCAATAACAGAATCACGCTTCAAGGAATGGATAATAAGAAACTTCTGTGAGTTAAAAGAATATGTTGTCGCCCAACATAAAGAAACTATGAACTTTGAAAAAAGGTTTGATGAAATCCTATTGAGAATAGACAACTTAGAGAGGAATATAAGTGAATTAATGGAACTGAAGAATACAATACTGGAACTCCGAGAAGTATGCACAGGTTTAAACACTCGAATTGTTCAAGCAGAAGAAAGGATATCAGAGGTCAAAGTCCAACTTAATGAAATAAAACAAGAAGACAAGATTAGAGAACAAAGGATAAAAAGGAATGAGCAAAGTCTCCAAGAAATGTGGGACTATGTGAAAAGACCAAATTTACGTTTGATAGGTGTACCTGAATGCGACGGAGAGAACGAATCCAAGCTGGAAAATACCCTTCAGGATCTTATTCAGGAAAATTTTCCTAAACTAGCAAAGCAGGTCAATATTCAACCCCAGATAATACAGAGAACACCACAAAGATATTCCTCAAGAAGAGCAACCCCAAGGCACATCATCATTAGATTCACCAGGGTTGAAACGAAGGAGAAAATACTAAGGGCAGCCAGAGAGAAAGGTCAGGTTACCCACAAAGGCAAGCCTATCAGACTTACAGCAGATCTCTCAGCAGAAACTCTACAAGCCAGAAGAGAGTGGGGGCCAATATTCAACATCCTCAAAGAACAGAACCTTCAGCCCAGAATTTCATATCCAGCCAAACTAAGCTTCACAACTGAAGGAAAAATAAAATATTTTATGAACAAGCAAGTACTCAGAGATTTTATTACCACCAGGCCTGCTTTACAAGAGCTTCTGAAAGAAGCATTACACACAGAAAGAAACAACCAGTATTAGCCTTTCTAAAAATATACCAAAAAGTAAAGAGCACCAACATAAAGAAGAATTTACATCAATGAATGGATAAAACAGCCAGTTAACATCAAATGGCAGTAACCCTAAATTTAAATCGACTAAATCCCCCAATCAAAAGACACAGCCAAAACCCAATGGCATGTTACATCCAGACCTATTTCACATGCAAGGATACACAAAGACTCAAAGGGATGGAGAAAGATTTACCAACCAAATGGAGAGCAAAAATAAATAAATTAATAAATAAAAAGAAGCAGGAGTTGCAATTCTCCTATCGGATAAAATAGATTTTAAAGCAACAAAGATATAGTGGTAAAAGGATCAATGCAACAACAAGAGCTAACGATCCTAACACCCAGATACATAGAGACTTAGATTCAATGAGACAGAAAATTGATAAGGATATCAAGGACTCGAACTCAGATCCAGAACAAGTAAACTTAATAAATATTTATAGAGCTCTCCATTTCAAATACACAAAATATACATTCTTGTCAATACCACATCACACCTACTCATAGGTTTAAATGAAATATTGATTGGCCATTATTAATACCCATTTTTTTTCAGAATAAAGCAATATTTCCATTCACCCTCCCTCTTTCTCTTCCTCTTTCACCCTCTCTTTTACTCATTTTTTTTTCTTTCCTTCTCTCAAATAAAAAGAAAAAATAAAAAGAAAAAAGAAATCAACTTGTAAACCTCTAGATCCAGGTCGGCAATGTCTCATTACTTGATTTCCTTCCTTCCCTTCCCTCCCTCCCTCCCTCCCTCCCTCCCCCCTTCCTCCCTTTCTTCCTTCCTTCATCCCTTCCTTCCTTCCTCCCTCCCTTCCTCCTTCCCTCCCTTCCTGCCTTCCTCCTTTCCTCCCTTCCTGCCTTCCTCCCTTCCTCCAAAAAAAAAAAAGAGGCTAACCAAAAAGCTTAAAAGGAAAAGCTGGGAATAAGATATCCATAGGGGCTTTTAAAAGTTCTATTTCTGGGAATCTAGAAGACCATGTACATGTGTAGACATGTGTACATATCTAGGGCTGTGTACATGCTCAGGAAAGACCTAAGAAGGCCCTATGGATGACTTTGAGGGTCTGTGAAAGAAGAAAGTAAAGGCTAAGGAAGAGTTGTCAACTGGCTGGCTAAATGTTGAATGTGTATCCCTGAATGCACACAGAATCCCTTGTCAAAGATTCAGAGACTTATTGGTTCAGGGCATTTAAAAAAAGTCTCTGTCCAATTATTAGCTTACCACTGAGTTAACTGGGCAAAAACTTTAGTGGTCACATGTGACAAAGAATACAGGCTTTACAGAATTACTCCAGGAAAATTATGGCCAAAATATAAGAAAAAGTAGCAAACAACAAAATCTGGAGAGAGAGGAGAATCTGGTTTCCAGAGTTGCCATATTATATCATTTGCAATGTTGAGTTTTCAAAAACAAAATAATTATGAAATATGCAAAGAAACAAGAAATTTTAGCCCATATAAAGTTTTAAAAAAGCAATTAGTAGAAACTGTACCTTAGAAAGCTTAGACATTAGATTTATTAGACATAAACTTTAAATCAGCTCTTTTAATGTATTCAAAGAAGTAAAAGAAACCATATATAAATAACTAAAAGAAAGTATGAGTACAATGCCTCACCAAATAGAAAATATCAACGAAGAGATAGAAATTATAAAAAAGAACCAAATTCTGTTGAGGGAGGGGGTACAAAAGTAAAAATGTATATAAATGTATTTATCACTTAAATGTACACTTAAAAAATAGTAAAGATGGTGAATTTTTTTTTTTTTTTTTTTGAGATAGAGTCTTACTCTGTTACCCAGACTAGAGTGCAATGGCATGGTCATCACTCACTGCAGCCTGAACTGGGCTGAAGTGATCTTCTCACCTTAGCCTCCTGAGTAGCCAGGACTACAGGTATCACCACCATGCCTGGCTAATTTTTAAATTTATCTGTAGAGTCAGGGTCTTGCTTACATTGCCCAGGGCGATCTTGAACACCTGGCCTTAAGTGAGCTTCCTGACTTGGCCTAGCAAAGTGCTAGGATTACAGGTGTGAGCCACTGTGTCCAGCACCCCCATCAAAAAAATTATTAAAAAAAAGAATTTGCCAAGCAGGGTGGAAGATATAAAAAAAAAAAAAAAAAAGAATTTGCCAATCTGTAAGCTTTGTGAGATATAGCAATAAACAGTTAAAAAGAAAAAAGAGAAGAAAAATTTAAAAATCAATGTAACCACTGTTATCAACCGACTAAAGAAGACAAATAACAACTATATTAAAGATGCAGAAAAAGCATTTGACAATCAACATGCATTCATGGTTTTAAAAAACCAAACTCTCAAGAAACTGTTAATGAAGAGACTTTTGTCAGTTCAATAGTGAGAATCTACAAAAATCCTATTGCTAACATGATACTTAATGGAGAAACGCTAAGTGCTTTTCTTCTTAAATGGGAATAAATCAAAGATGTCCTCTATTTAACATTGTGTTGGAGATTCTCGCCAGCATGAAAAAATAAATAAAGGATATTTCTTTATTAGAGAATAAGAAATAAAGCTGTTCACAGACGACATGACTGTCTACGTAAGGAACTCCAAAGAATATCCAAAATTGTTTAGCAACATTACATTATACAAAGTCAATATCTAAAAACTAATTGTGCTTCTATATATCACTGATGAAAAATTAGAAAATAAGATTTTTTTAAAAGCACTTTAAATAGCACCATAAAATATTAAGTACTTTGGTACAAACCTAACAAAATATGTGCAAAATCTGTTTGCTGAAAACTATAACACTAATAATAAAAGAAGTCAAAAAGATATATGTAAATGAAAAAATATGTCATTTTGTGGATTAAAAGACTTACTGTGGTTAAGATATCATTTATTTCCCAAATAGATCTATAATTCAATGCAATCCCAATATATTTACAAACAAGATTTTCTTCTCAAGGATCTAGAAATAGAAATTCCATTTGACCCAGCAATCCCATTACTGGGTATATACCCAAAGAACTGTAAGTTGTTCTACTATAAAGACACATGCACACGTATGTTCACTGCAGCGCTGTGTACAATAGCAAGGACCTGGAACCAACCCAAATGCCCATCAATGATGAACTGGACAAAGAAAATGTGGTACATATACACCATGGAATACTATGCAGCCATAAAAAATGATGAGTTTGTGTCCTTTGTAGGGACTTGGATGAATCTGGAAACCATCATTCTCAGCAAACTGACAAAAGAACAGAAAGCCAAACACCGCATGTTCTCACTCATAAGTGGGTGTTGAACAACAAGAACACATGGACTCAGGGAAAGGAGCATCACACACTGGGGGCAGTTAGGGGGTAGGGGAGAGACAGTGGGGGGTGAGAAGGGAGGGGAAGCTGGGGAGGGACAACATGGGGAGAAATGCCCAGGTAGTATGCACCTGAAGTAAAATAAAAAAAACATAAAATATAAAAATAAATAAATAATAATGAAAAAAAGATTTTCTGTGGAAACCCAATTTATATGAAAAAAACAAAGGAACTAAAATAGCCAAAACCCCAAAGTTGAAAGATTTACACTCTCTCAATTCAGAGTCTAGAGTGTACAACATTATGCAATGGAAAACATTCATAGGATTTGTACCTTCTGATTTCAAGACTTACTATATTGTTATAGCAATTAAGGCAGTATGGTGTTTGTAAAGGGTAGACACATAGATCAATGGAACACAATAGAGATATGAATAAATCCATACTTACGTGAGTAGTTAATTTTTGACAGATTTGGAAGGAAAATTCAATGGAGAAAGAATAATCTTTTAAATAAATAATCTTTCAAATAAATCTTGTAAATAAATAAATAAATCTTTTAAATAAATATTCATTTTAGAACAAATAGACAGTCTTATATTTCAAAGTGAACCTTGAGCTAGGTACAGTGGCATATGCCTATAATCCCAGCTACTTGAGAGACTGAGGCCAGAGGGTCATTTGAGTCTAGCCTGTGTAACATAGGAAGATCCCATGTTCTAAAAAAAAAAAAAAAAAGTTTTAATTTCTAGAAACGAACCTTGATCCACACTTTGTACTTTATACACAAATTAACTAAAAAAGGTCCACAGGCATAAACGTAGAGCTGAAAATATTAAAATTTATAGAAAAAATAAGTAGGAAAATCCTTGTAAATGTGGGTTAGGCAAAGATTCCTTAGACATGACATCAAAAATATGATTCATAGGAAGAAAAAAAAATGACAAATTGGACTCCCTCTCTAAAAGACCTTGTTAAGAAAATGGTCATCTAACTGTAGAATGGCATAAAATATTTGGAAAAATGCTTATCTGATAAAGGACTTGTATCCAGAATATATAAAGAACTATCAAGATTCAATAATAAGAAAACAACCCTGTTTTAAAATGGGCAAAGATTTGAGCAGACACTACCAAAAAAGATATATGAATGGCAAATAAGCATGTAAAAGATGATCCACCTCATTAGTCACTAGAGAAATGCCAATGAAAACCACAATAAAATATCACTCTACCCTTATTAGAATTGCTAAAATCAAACAAACTGATAAAGTCAAAAGCTGATAAGAATGCAGAACACCTGGACCTCTTATACACTGCTGGTAGGAATGTAAATGGTATAAAATTTTGGAAAACTGTTTGCCAGTTTCTTATAAAATTAAATATACATTTACCAAGGCAAGCAGTTTACTCGTAGGCATTTACCCAAGAGAAATGAAAACTTACATTCATATAAAATATGCATATGAATGTTTGTAACAACTTTATTCATAATTGACAAAAATGAGAAATAATTCAGATGTCCATAAACATATAAATGTCTAAAAAATTATAGTTCCACAAAATGGAATATTACTCAGTAATAAAAAGAGATAAATTATCATGCTTACAACAACATAAATTAATCTCAATGCTAGGTCAAAAAAGCCAGACTCAAAAAGTTACATTTTGTATGATTCCATTTATATGACATTCTAGAAAAGGTAAAACTATAGAGATAGAAAACAGATCAGTAGCTGCCAGGGGCTGGAGATAGAAGTAGACCACAATGGAGCATAAAATAATTTTACAGTGCAATGGAACTGTTGTATATCTTAAATATGGTTGGGGTTACATGACTATATGTATTTGTCAAAGCTCCTAGACCACTAAAAAGTGAATTTTACCAAATGTGAGTTTTTTTGTTTGCATCTGATTCTGGCAAATTGCTGATACCAGTATCCTCAAAACACATATTGGAAACCACTGGCATAATGACAGTTTAGAAACTTTTAGATGACTATTATGATCAGAGGAAAGTTAAGTCAATGAGTATGTCAGGCAATGAGACCCGATTCTTGGCATGAGTTCAGGTACTATGGATATATCCGTAAGGAAAATAGTGGCAACAACAAGCCAGGTAATAGGGTGCGGTCTTTATATTAATGAAGACAGTCCTGTGAAGACATGTTTTGTTAAAACCAAGCCCATCTCCTGAATCATGGCCTGCAGCATAAGAGAATGCTCATCACCTAATGCAGACTTTTCAGCTCTCTGGCAAATCCATCTATCAGGTGGCTTCCAGCTGTTTTGCTGAATTTTTTTGTTGCCCCCCCCCCCCCGAATAGGTATCAAGCCTAACACAAATTTCAAAGAACTGGTCTATTAATAAAAAATAATCAGATTTTGAGAGCCTGTCTTTTTCTGTGAGCAGTATTAAACTTTTCCTCTTGTTGATGCTTCTGACATCCCTCCTGTGTCATTTCTGAGCAAATAAAGTACAGATGACTTGGCTTGCCCCAGTTCTTAGAGAGGCTTAACTCTACCAGGGTGGGCAGCTAAACACTGCCAAGCATAAAACTAGAAGTTACTTCCCATCCTGACGGGAGGATTTTCATTTCTTCTGCTAATAAGGAGAATCTTTTGGAATCAAAGGAATATTTTTCTCTGATTATAAAAGGTGTCCTAGTCTGATTTGTGCTGCTATAACAGAAACCAGAGAGTCATTTATTTAAAAAAAATTTTTTCACAGTTCTGGAGGCTGGGAGGTCCAAGACTCAGGGGCTGGCAGCTGGTGAGGGCCTTCCTGTTGTGTCATAACATAACAGAAGGCAGCATATGGGTGAGAGAGAGAGAGAGAGAAGGGGGTCAAACTCATCCTTTTATAAGGAACCCACTCCAGAGATAAGAAATCCATTTTTGAGATAATGCCATTAATGCGTTAATGAGGGTAGAGTCATGATCTAATCAGCTCTTAAAGGTCCCACCTCTTAATACTGTTGAATTGAGGATTAAGTTTCTAACACATAAACTTTGGGGAATATATTCAAACTCTAGCAAAAAGGGTACAACTGCTAAGGCTAACACTTTACAGGTTTTTCTTTGGCTCATTTTTGTCTTTTGATAAAGCTAATTTATAATTATTAAATTCTGAGAAATAAGTTACAGATAATTTAGTAGGCCATGTGTTAGAAATAACCTATGGTAGCTTTAATTAAATGCATAATCTATAGGTAATCTTATATAATCCTATAGTCTTAATATCTAAGTTCTTCAAGTCCAGAGAATGGAACATTTTTTTAAATAAATCTCCTATTGATAATATGTTAGGTGGTAAACACAGGACAAAATGGGAGCAGGGAAGAGTGCAAACCAAAGGGAATACTGTTTTTGTTGTTGTTATTGTTTTCATATCCTCCACCAGAAAGTAAGCTCTAACACGGGAACTTTTGAAAAAGGTAACTTGGCAGAGAAGGGGAGGGAAGTGCTGTGGTCAGTGGTTGGCTTGGCAAAAATCTCAGCATCATCCTAGGCCCTGCAGTCTCCGTCATCTTAACAGCAACCACTAAATGTTATTGTCTCTGTCCAGCCTTCTGATCTTGCTAAAGCTTGCTGAAGCTCAGGTTCTTCGCTAAACTACTTCCAGAGTGTCCCTATCAGTCTATCTTGTCTCTTTCTGTTCTACTCCACTGTCTATCACCAAATTTATCTTTCTTCAGCCCAGCTGAACCTTCGGCAATGCCCCCTCACCCTCAGAATGACATAGATGTGCCGCAGAATGGCACTTCAGACTCCCTTTGAAGGGTAGGTGCATCCTACCCTTCCCACTTCTCCTCGTCTTCTCTCCTTTCTCACACTATGCTCCACCACTCTCCACCAAAGCCTTACTCTTTCCTGCATCTGTACCTCTCGTGCTGGACTCTGCTTGAAATTTCTTCTTCACCCTTGGCTTCTTACCACCATCCATCCATTAAGGCCCGGCTCAAAGAAGCTTTGACTGATGCTCACAGCTAAGAATGGATTCTCATAGTTCTTAACTGTTCTCTTGTGGTTTATATTCTTTCGTATATTGTAATTATTGGTATATGTGGTGACCGCATTCATATATTTTTTCCTTTTTACATTGTAAATTACTGGAAGGCAGGTTTTATATCTCACCCTCAATTGTACTTATACACTTCATGCCTTGCTTATGATAGACACAACATAGGTAGTAGTCGACTCAACACATGTGTTATGAGTTTTGAATGGAAAAATGAATGAATACATCTAAAGTTGGGAATGTAAAAAAGGAAACCTGAGTGCTTTCTTATTGTAATCAAGGCAGCAAGGAACACAATTGGTGATAATTCAAGAAGCCCACATGGGAAGGGCAGGAGTTGGTACTACTTCTCAGCTTCGTCCTTCCAAAAGCTAAACAATTCGACATACCATGACATATGATGTTGTCATAATTGTGTATAGAGAAGTCTTATCCAGGAGCATATGCTAAGCAAAGAAGCCAAGCCACGACTGGTCTTCCAGTCTTAGAACGGCAGTAGAAAACTGTAACAAACAATTGTTGTATTATTTTTATTTAATATGTGAGAATTAGTTTTTTTAAAAAAATCAGTCACTTTACTGTCCAACAAAAGAGCTTAATCAATAATTGTAGATACTAGAATTATCTCAGTAAATATAAAATTATTTTCTCTCACCTCCTTCTCAGAGAACTTCATTTCTTGTTGTCTCTTGAGAATGGAGGGGAAACTGTGTCCCAAAGCTGTAGGATACCTGGGTGAAAGTATCACAAGCACATCATGGCACTATCATGTGATACTGTTTTTATGAGAGGAGAGTCATAGAATAGGTAGAAATCCACCTATTGGGTACACCCCTTTAAACCAAACACATAAGGAAAATCTGCATCTGCAGGCGCAGTGGCTCAAGCCTGTAATCCCAGCACTTTGGGAGGCCGAGGCAGGTGGATCTCGAGGTCAAGAGATCGAGACCATCCTGGTCAACGTGGTGAAACCCCGTCTCTACTAAAAATACAAAAAAATTAGCTGGGCGTGGTGGCGTGCGCCTGTAATCCCAGCTACTCCGGAGGCTGAGGCAGGAGAATTGCCTGAACCCAGGAGGCGGAGGTTGTGGTGGGCCGAGATCGCACCATTGCACTCCAGCCTGGGTAACAAGAGCGAAACTCCGTCTCAAAAAAAGAAAAAGGAAAAAAAAAAAAAAATCTGCATCTACAAAGAGTTGTGAGGTAATGAATTGTCGCTTGACAAAAGCACTCACCCTGGTCACCAAAAACAAATCCCTTTTCAGAAACACAGCAGCCATATAAAGCAGAGTTTGCCTGTATTCACACTGCTGAGAGAGTGATGCATCTGGTCACCTGGGGCCAATCTGGGCCACATGTGAAAAGACACTCTTTCTCCCTAGCCTATTTAAAAATCAGTAGATAATTTTGGAAGTATGACTATTTTTCCAGGTTGCCTTTTAAGGGACTTTTCTTTCTAGTCCATCAAAAATGGATTAGTGTGACTCATTAACACAGATCCAAACACAGTCAGAAAGCAAGAAACACCTTTCCGGTTTCTTAATCACTTCAATTTCCTAAAGCTGACTCTGCTTCTTCATTTTGGCAAGAATGTTGTCGTTTTCTGGTTAATTTAAAAACATTTAAAAGACAACTCCCTTACTACTAGGCATATGGTAGGAACTTAATATATAAATGTTAAGTGAATATAAAGTTTATTTCACTCCATGTACCAAGTCTTACTCACAGATTTGCCAAGTACAACAAACTATGAACACTGAGTAGCTAGAATGTGAGTACTTGAATTCTTTTTTCTTTTCCCGCAAAGTGCCTAGTATAGGACTCTGTGAACGCTATTCACACATGCACATCTGAATATGTGAGAACCTGCACATGCACACACAGACATGCAGTCTTATTAGCTATTGAGTTAGCTTAGAGGATCCTTGATTAATCAACTTTGGGGCTTATCTGTTATAGGTCTGACTGTTCTATTGTACCTGGAGAATATCAATATTTTTATAGGAACCCAAGGGGAGGAAAATACCATCTATGCTGATTCTGATGGTTGCTTAGCCATGTTATTTTATTTTTTAATTTATTTTTATTTTGTAGAGATGGGATCTCACTATATTGCCCAGGCTACTAGACTCCTGGCCTCAAGAGTTCCTCCTACCTTGACCTCCCAGAGTGCTGGGATCACAGGCATAAACCACAATACCTGGCCTGTGTGTTTGGTTTTATATAGTTGTTATAGTTGAATAATTGGTCTGTGGTTGCTGAGTTGTATAAACAGATTTCGATCTCAAACTATCAATAAGTTATTCCAATACCATACTGCTGTTAACTGAAAACATCCCCACTGTTCAGATGGTTTTGGTTTTTCTTTAAGTTGTACTTTCCCCTCAGCCTGATCTGTTCTGATATTGCCTATTTTCTTTCAGTTCAAAGCTATGAGCAGACTTAAATTTTAATAATATACAAGGCAGTGGGAAATGAAGGTTTAAGGGTCAAGTGGAATCTATTAGACTGTCACTTATGAGATGTAAGACCTTTGGCCTATTACTCAACCTCTCAAACTTCACTTTTCTCAGCTATAAAATGAAGATAATAATGGTATACAGCTCTCAGAGTTGCTGTGAGGATTGTGTTAGAGAATGGATGTGAAATACCTGGCTCACAATAGACCTAGAAAGCATTAGTTGTAGTTGCTCTTCTTTCCAGGGATCTATAATCCAAACACCCACACAGTGCCCATAGGGAGTTGCTCCTTAATGTCAACTTAAGAACATTTGCCACATAACCCAAAAATGTCCCTCCATGGCCTGTGAGGCCCTGTGTGATCTAGTCCTTCCTCACCAGCCTCTCACCTGCTGCCTCCCTCCCTTCACTTGATGCTTTTGAGCAAATTGGCCTCATCACTGTTCCCCCAATTCATCATGGGGCTTCCACCTGAGAGCCTTCTCAGAGACTCTTGCCCCATCTAGATATTAGAACACTCTCCACCCTGCCCTTCACCTGTGTGATCTCTTGTCAGCCTTCATCTATCACTCACATAGCAGGACTTCCCATAACACCCCTCTCCAAGATTATGTCTCTTATGCTCTCACAGTAGCCAGTACTCTTTCTTTCTGATCTTGTTCTGTTACCCAGGCTAGAGTGCATTTGTGCCATTATAGCTCACTGTAACCTTGAACTGCTAGGCTCATGCAATCCTCCCATCTCAACCACCCGAGTAGCTGTGCTGCAGGTACACACCATCATACACAGTTTTTTGTTTTTTGGTTTTTTTTAGTAGGGACAGAGTCTTGCTATGCTGCCCAGGCTGGTCTTGAACCCCTGCCTCAAGTCACTACACTTTCGTTATAACAGTTATCACATTCTTAATTATATATTGTACATACTTGTTATGGACTGAATTGTATCCCTCCAAAATTCATATGTGAAGCCCCCATCACCAGTACCTCAGTACATTTATTTGAAGATAGGCTCTTTCAAGAAGTAGTTAAATTTAAGTAAAAATGAGGCCATCAGGGTGGACCCTAATTCAATCTGACTTGTGTCCTTATAAGAAGAGGAGATTAGGACACACAGAGAGAGACACCAGGGATGTGCATGCACAGAGAAAAGCCATGTGAGGACACTGCAAGAAGGTGGCCATCTGCAAGCCAAGGAGAAGGGATCTCAAGAGAAATCAAACCACCTGACACATTGATCATGAACTTCCAGCCCACAGAACTATGAGAAAATAAAATTCTGTTGTTTAAGCCACCCAGTCTGTGGTGTTTTGTTATGGGAACGCTCACTGACTAATATATTTCATAAGCCCTGTCTTCCTCCATTAGACTGTGAACTCCATAAGCACAGGGAATATGTCCATATTTCACCATCAAACTCTTAGCACATAGTTTAATGCCTGGCTCCAAGCAGCAGCCAATATATTTTTGTTTAATTTATGAATAAAGGAATGAATGATGCAGGGCCATGTCAATTTTATGCTGAAAGCTCTGTGTGTTCTAGATTCTTCAACGTTCTTCTCCTATGAGATTGACAGAAGAAATGTTGAGTATTTATTTGGGAAAGGAAAGAACATTCTAGAAAGCAAGTGTCAAATTCTGCATAACTGAAAAACGTTCTGAAATGTATGAGTCTAGTGCAGAATATGGGCAGCTTGGGAACAAGAGACCCACAGATGTTCTCAGTGGTCTGCTATCCTTCCATGGGATGCAGTGCCCACAATAGCAAGGTGCAGTCGCATGTCAGTGCTGTGCTGTGAGGGTCCCACAGCTCCTCTCCAGTATCGTAGGATAACACCTCAGAACTGGGAATCTCAATGTGATGCTGGGTCCCAGGAATGTGCTATGGCCTTAAAGGACTGCCTGAGTGAGTTCCAGGTTCAGACTTCCCATTTTACCAACACAAGGGTCTCAAGCTAGTTTTTGGGGCCCCGAAAAGCCAGATACCATCCAGTATTCATAAGAATTATTCCGATTGATGCAAGTTGACCCTCTAGGGAAATCTAAAGGTCCCAAGATGTACTTGGAGTTGCAGGATATCTGGGAGCCCACATATGTCTTTAGGTGTATAGAGACTATGTGGTCACCTGATTTGAAGGACAAGAAAGTCCTTATCCCTCCCCAACAGCACCTCTCTCCATTATTAGGTGGCCAAATGCCTAAAATCCCATCATTAACATGTCACTCTTTTAGATCAGCATATCACTATATGTGGTTACCTTTTTTGTAAAATGAACCTGGCCCACCAGCTACTCAGTATTTTCAGTCATTAGCATATTATAAATTAGTTCACCAACTATTTTCTCCAGATGGGCTTGACCTAGCTTGAACTAGAAGAGGGAAAAGAAGACAAAGACATCTATAAGGGAAACAGATCTTGCATATAAATCCTGCCAACTTCAGTTTCTCTAGGGTTCAGGTACTTTGACCACAGGCCATCCATATGCCTAGACCACCCGTGAATCATGCACTGGGATTCCAGTCCCCATGGCACTGAGGAAGGGTATTGCCACAAAGCTGTGGCAGTTCTCCAGCTGTAGAAGGTAGGCAATAAAAGGGAATTTCCTTTATGTTGGCCCTTTGTTTCTTTTTCCCCATGGGCCTATAAATGGTTAACCTTCCTAAGCTGGAAGGAGAAGTTTTCTGCCTCCTGTAAAGTTTGATTCCTGGAGGCAGATTTTTTTTTTTTTTTAAATCCAGCAAGTGTCAGATAATTGGAAGGGTGGAGTAACACTGTAAACCACGACACACCTTTGTCAGGACTTGTTTGGAAGCAAAGAGTTGAAAGAAACAAGGTGGAGAGAAAGAGAAGAGAACATTTTTGAAAGATCACTCAGCTTTAACACACCTTGGCAGGGTCTGGATAAAAAAAAAAGTGAGCCCTGCAAATTTCTAGAAGAAAACATCAGGAGAAGAAAGAAAGAGGGAGATTTATTCAAAGTTGTTTTTAATTCCTTCAAAACCTCAAGCCAGGTAAGTAACAGGAAGACTGACCTTTCTCCCTTTCTCTGAGTCTTTGATTTAAGGTGTGTCATTTAGAAACTAAATGTTTATTGGAAAATAGAAGATGAAGTTCTGTAGTTTCTAGCATTCTGGTTGATGTGATTAATTGGTTATAAAAGACTTTAGTGTATGCATTCTGCTTAGGGTAGGTCTTTCAAAGGAAATAAGTGGGGAAAAGGAGAAGGCTGGGCTGTAGTAGCAAGATCATTATGTATTGTTTTCAGTATTGTAAAATGACTTGTGTTGCTTTATTTAGAATACGATATGGGCTTAAAATTCCTTCTCTCCCAATCTCAATTTCCTCTCTCGCTATCTTGCTCTCCTCTTCCCTCTGTCTCTCTTTCTCCACTGGACACGAGAACAACTCAGAGGTGAAGTTAAAGTCTAGGTAAGGAGCCCTTCTAGAAGCAGCCCCTGTGCTGACTGGGCCTCTCTGATTAAGCTAGACATGGTAAACATTGCCCTTTACCATGCTTAAATTAACCTCTAATCTAAAGTCTGATCTTTGAAATGATCTAATTAATCCAGGAATTTTCCAGGATCAAACTTAGAGGAAGAAAAAAGAAGAAAATTGTTTCCCGTATATATACTTTTATGGGTCAACTTGGGTTTCCCCCTGCCAAAAAAAAAAAATTCACTTTGAGATGAGAATTACCAGTTTAGATACCTAAATGGTCAAGATTAACTGGTAACTGACAAATTATCACTTTACTTTTTGAAGTGGAGGCAAAACCTCTGGCACATGCCTTCCTCTGAGAAGCAGTTAATCAGTAGTCCAATAGTGGACTTGTTATAAATGTAGCGAGATTTTTAAAAGGTATTTATTTGAAAAGCAGAATGGTTTCTTCTTACCTCCATATGTTCTCTCTTAGAGTTAAGGCATAGATCTGTCAGAGCTAACCTAAGACAGATGTCTGTCCCCACACAGATGCACTCCAGAGAATCAGAGGGGTCTTGCTTTACTCTTGAATCAGAGGGGTCCTGCTTTACTCTTAGGCCCTGCAAAACACCCACATGAATCTGATCAGAGTTTACACAGGAACAATTAAAGTGAACAGTCCTGCTTCAAACTTGCATAGAAACTTACCACCCTGGGTAACATGGCAAAACCCTGATTCTACAAAACATATAAAATTAACCAAGCATGGTGATGCACACCCATAGTCCCAGCTTCTCAGGAGGCTGAGGCAGGAGGATCACCTAAGCCCAGGAGGTAGAGGCTGTAGTGAGCTGTGACGGCACCACTGCACTCCAGCCTGGGCAACAGAGCCAGATTCTCTTTCATAAAAGAATAGGAACTTTGGGAGGCCAAGGCTGGTGGATCACCTGAGGCCACCAGTCTGGCCAACATGGTGAAACCCCGTCTCTACTAAAACTACAAAAATCATCTGGGCAGGGTAGTGTGTGCCTGTAACCCCAGCTACTTGGGAGGCTGAGGCAGGAGAATCACTCAAATCCAGGAGGTGAGGTTGCAGTGAGCCGAGATTGTGGCACTGTACTCCATCCTGGGCTACAGAGCAAGACTTTGTCTCAAAAAAAAAAAAAAAAAAAAAGAATAGGAAAAAAACTCTTTACATTGGTGAAACTGACCAGACCTAAGAACTGTCCATCTTCTCAGATTATGAAAAACAAAAAGAAGTCTGTTCATATTGTTTCATTTGCCATTATTAATGGTGGCAGGACACAACTGTAAACAAACCACCATAATCACAAAGCTGGTGCCCTATCCCACCTGCCCCCAGTCATGAAAATCCAGGATGCCAAATTTAGCAAGAAGCAAACCCATCTCCAGGGAGCTGTAGAGACAGAGCCTCCAAGACAGTCAACTCCAGGGCATTGGTTTTCCTGGCATCAAACTGCTGGGCCCTTCTGTGTTAACAGGTCAATAGCCAGTGGATAGTTTTCTAATACTTTGGCAATTTTGTTGTTACTTTGTTTTAAAATTTAAAGTGTATAGAGATTGGAGTAATAGAAGCTATAAAAATACTTGCAATTCATTAGCAGAGTACAGAAACATTTGTTCCTAAAACAGAGAGAAAAACACTTAGCTTCTTCATTGTCTTTGTTATATCAAGAATAAAGTGTTTTGTGTGTGATTAGAATAAGATAATGTGATGGTTTAAATCCAAATGTGATGGTAAGCTATTAACATGATGGTTTACTGTCACAAACAGTGGTTTGTGTGTGTGTGTGTGCATGCACGTGCATGTGTGTTGAACAGCAGCAGTGTCTGAATAATTTTAGATCAATGTGACATCATTTAAATAAAATGGAAAGGAAAAAAACGCATAAAAGTAGAAAAATGATTTAACATTGTGCCTTCTTGCCTAGGAAGGCTACATGGGATCATTTTTACATCTTCAAAAAAACATTAGCTATAAAACAATCGCAAAGCAACCCTTCAGAACTGTGGGTGGAAATTAGTATAATTTTGGAATTGAAAGCTTGAATGATCTGCTCGTCCTTAGTTCTAGTGAAGTGGCCCAAATGTCTGAGAAGTTAAAAATCACATTATTTTACAGTGCTTCCATTAAGTAGGACTTTTGGAAGATAAACGCACTGGTGAATCCGCTGGGGTAGGCAGGCTCAGGCACATACCTGGGCAGGAAATGTTCTTTTTCCTAATGCTACACTTTAAAAAACTATCAGCACTTATAATGTGTAAAAAAGGAAGTCCTGGGACTATACTGTAGGTCTTTATGGGAAGATCCTAGTCCAGGGTTATACCCCAAGCCATCGTTCTCCACTAAATATAACTCACTTACAGAAAGTTTCCTCTTATCTTTGGTTTAAAAGAATCAGTCTCCCAACACCTCCCTGACACCTCAGATTGGCAGTGGGACACACAGACATTGGGGTGGCTTCAGATTGAGAGAGAGGCATCTACCTGTGCCTGCTTAGAGCAGGTTCTATACACAGGGTACCTTCCAATGAGGAGCTCCCAGGCTCTGAAGGAGGGCATCTGATTTCTAAGGAGGTCAGCACTTCACCCTTTGGAAGTTGGGAAACCCTTGGCTTTTTACTGCAGAATCAAGGCTTTTTCACTGGGATTCAGGGAAAAGATGGAGGGCCCAGAAATGCCTGCTCTTTTTCTGGATAAAGAAAGAACAAACAAAACTTTCCAGTTTGCTGCCTAGAGACTGTACTCTTTTTTGTTGTTGTTGTTTGTTTGTTGTTGTTTTGTTTGTTTGTTCGTTTGTGAGACAGAGTCTCCCTCTGTAGCCCAGGCTGGAGTGCAGTGGTACAATCTCGGCTTACTACAACCTCCACCTCCTGGGTTCAAGTGATTCTTCAGCCTCAGCCTCCTGAGTAGCTGGGACTACAGGCGCATGCCACCATGCCCAGCTAATTTTTCTATTTTTAATAGAGACGGGGTTTCCCCATATTGGCCAGGCTGGTCTTGAACTCCTGATTATCCACCCTCCTCAGCCTCCCAAAGTGCTGGGATTACAGGCATGAGCCACCGCGCCTGGTGACCATACTCTTAGCAAACAGAGTCATGATCCGTCTGCCTAAGTGGCTGCAAGTGGAACCCATCCAGCCAATCCCAAATGTATAGCTGCCAGCAGCAACTTTCACTGAAAGATCAAAATAAGCAATAACTTGTGGGAAGTAAAAGATTCCATGGATTGTTATAAACAGTTCATTTCAGGATGATATTTCATATCTATTCAGGTACCGTCTAGAAAGCTATGAAAGTCACCTCCCTACTGACTGCTAGGGTTATTTAAAGGTTTTATCTCCCCAAATGCCTTCCAGTCCATAGCCAAATTTCTATTTTTTTAAAAGAAAGTCAGGGAAGGGTTTCAGAGCTATTAAAGGTAATTAATGCAAAGAAGGTGTCCAGTTGCACGTAGGTTTGCATGACATAAGTCATACAGGTGATAGCTGGAATGCAGAGAGAGTCACTGGCCAGATTTGTCCTTGTAACAAGGCTAGACTCCTTTGTTAAGCTGTGTATGGAGCCCCTCCTCTGGGCTCCAGGAAACATATCTATAAAGACATTCTGTGGCTTCTCAGATCCAGCTAGGATTTTTTCATGATGCCTCATTCCTTGCCTCAAGCTGTGTTTGAGAAACACCAATGAGCAAGAAGTTGGCACATTTACCAGGTCCTGAAGCTAACTGTATGGATCTTCGTTATTCCACCAAGTAGTTGATCATCATTTGGTCTCGTTTTTCATCAGGGAAGTCACTCAGAGCTACATTATGACTTTCATGGTCCCTAGACACTTTCACCATTTTGGGCCCCTTCCTCCATCAAAAAAACTTTAAAATTCTGTTTTACAACTGCATTGGTTTAAAGGACTTAATCCAGATTAGAGTCTGTTCATTTTTCTTTCTGATTTTAAAAGAAATTAAAACATTTGTGGGCTCCAAAATTGCTCTGGGCCTAGGCACTGTGCCCACTTCGCCTACTGGGTACGTCAAGCCTGCAGGCACTAGGCAGAGACTGGAAGGAGAGCTCTTCAAGCAAGGGGTACCTGGCAGAAATAGTGTGCCTCAGCATTCTAGAACCCAGTTTGAACTACAATCAAAAGATAAAGTAGGAGGAAGAGAAAGAGGAGGAGAGAGAACCACAGGGAAAGTCAGATTTCAGGTTCTTTCAGAACCTGGGGCCAGGCAGCGCAGCAAGAAGAGCCCAGTTGGGACAGGACCCTTGCTATGCATTCCTGTGTGTTTAAGACTTGAGCCTTCATCCCCATCACACTTTAGCAACAGCCCTGCCTCATACCATCCTTGCTTAGGGACACAGTGGACAAGATCGCACTGATTTTCTTTTTCAGAAGCAGAGTAAGAGTGAAAGGAGAACATAGATAATACACACAAATATGTATTTTCCTACATGTGTTATAGATTCTGCAGGCTTTCTTCAACTGTTTTTCATTCTTATGTCTGCAGATAAGCATGTGAGAGCCGATTATAGTGAATGTTTCATACTTTGAAAAGAGTAAAGTTCCATACAAGTATGATAAATATAATTATTTTATCCTGATTTAAATCTATCAAGTGCCATTCTTACCTCCAGACTCTTAATGAAGCATGAATGTCTTATATAGAACATTGAACCTTATGGGAGACATTAAAATGAATTAGATGATAGCACAAAGTGCCTTGATAGACCCCCTTCAGCTATTTATTACCATGGCAAAGAATGGAGGTTTTATAGTCAAACAAAAGTCAGGACACCCCATCTTGATGCTCAGCAGGGGGCAGGCTGATCAACTAGATGCTGAAAAATAAGATCTGAGCACAAAGAAATAGAATCCAAAGTGGAACCATTAAATTACTCTCTATTATACCTGTGATAAGAAATGGGAATGACCCTTGTAAAAAATATGCACATGAAAGAATTATGCTTTAAATTTTTAAAATCATGTTTTTGGTTATCAGCTTGAAGAGTAGGGACCTATACTTACTAAAAACAATGGCAGCTGGGCACAGTGGCTCATGCCTGTAATCCCAACACTTGGAGAGGCTGAGGCAGGCAGATCATCTGATGTTGGGAGTTCGAGACCAGCCTGGTCAACATAGCAAAACCTCATCTCTACTAAAAATACAAACTTAGCCTGGTGTGGCGGCACATACCTGTAATCCCAGCTACTCAGGAGGCTGAGGCAGGAGAATCACTTGAACCTAGGAAGCGGAGGTTGTGGTGAGCTGCACTTCAGCCTGGGCAACAAGAGCGAAACTCCATTTAAAAAAAAAAGAAAGAAAGAAAGAAAAGAAAACAATGGTAAGTATGGCTATCATGGTTTCTGACTTTTCTTACAGGTGGCTATGGTATGGATGTAACCAAGAAAAACAAACGAGACGGTACTGAAGTTACCGAAAGAAGTAAGAGCATTGGAATTTTTTACATGCTTTATTATAAAAGTAATAAAAATTTGGAAACAGGATAAGTAATTCATTAATAATTCTACCACAATCACTATATCATGTTTAAGTGTGTTCCTAAATGGACTTTAATCCTTCTGATAAATATATCTGGTTAATTTTTATTTCAAAAGATGTCCTGCTTTTTCTTCAATGATGAAGGTTGTCATTTCCTTGTAGTTTTCATAACCTTCATTTTTAATAATTCATGGCATTCTACTAAATAAATTTACCATACTTTACTTAAGCATTTCCAATTTTAGGGGTATAGGGCAACAGAAATCTAAATAACATCCTAGTTATTGCAGAGACAAAGTTGAAATAAAACTAATATTATAGTTGACATCTACACTGAAAATTGAAAACAGATACATTTATTTTGTGAAACTGCCCAACAAAAAATTAAGAGACATTTAAACTGTCCCCCTAGCAACTCTAAGCTAGGAAACTTTTCCACTTATTCTGTGACTTTCATATATCTCCAATAAAAAAAAATTCTGGCTCCATAGACATGAAACTTTTGGTTAGGAAATAATTTATTTTTATGTGTCAAAGAATCCCAAAGTTCTATACAATGAGAGGTTTAATGAAAACTCAAGGACTATTCAAATCAAGCTGCAACTGTACTCTGAAAAACCATTTCCTTTTATGTGCTGTTTCTGACATGTCCATAACCACATGTTCTTGCTAGGACAACCAAACTAATTAGCAAAATGCAGTATGAAGAACAGTATGAATGAGAGTCATATGGGATGGAGAAGGTGTCAGCAGCACAGCTGAAAGGCGCACAAAATGATCCTGCACCATCTTCCTTTACTCTTTTCTCCTTTCACCACCTACCCCACCTGTATGTGCCCATGCCTGCCACACACACACACATACATGCACACACACATACACACATGCATGTAAGCATGCACACTGGAAACCTGCTTTTAAAGGACAGAGACACAGATAGGTAAGTGCTCCTGTATACCCACCAGAGACAGAGGTAGTGGTGAGGGCCAAAATCAGAGGCTGAGTGATGGATTCACCATCACTCAGATCAACAAGAACTAAATTTCAGAGGCCAAGGGACTGGTTCTTCAAGTCTATCTGTGATGTGCCTGGATCCCTGATTTTGCAAAACCCCAAATGTGACTTACCAGGCCCCCTTCCTTCCCACAATTCCCCACATTCAGAGGTTGCCCTAAAGACATTAGAACAAATCATCATGTTCTTGAACCCCTCCAAATTCAGGAAGAAGTACACAGTGAAGTCAGTCAGGGTGTTGGTCTCAGCTGGACTGAGAGACCATGGGGAAGGAGCAATGCAGAGAAACAGAGCAACTTGAGACAAGAGGGCCTGGTCTTCCTTCAACCTCAGATCAGGCCTGGACTGGATCTAATTGTCCAAGGAGAGACATCAACACCAAAACAACTCATGTTTCAAATCAGTGGGTAACTTGTTTTGGCTCCAAAGAGATATAAACTTATTTTCCAAGCACATTAAACCCGTTGTTGTTGCTCATATCTTTTTGCACAGTGAATCAGATCGCAAACTTTAAAGCACAAGCATAGAAAAATCAATGTTGAACCTAATTTAATCTGCTTATCCAATGACAGAGCTTAGACCTTGCCAAGATCAAGAGGTGTCAGTGCATTACATACGGTCTTATCTTTTCTTTGTCTTTTTCTAGTTGTCACTGAAACAGTAACCACAAGACTTACATCCTTACCACCAAGTAAGTAACTACCTCAATAGCTTACTTCTCAGGAAGTCACATTTGAAGGACCCCACACCTGTAACCTTTTCCATGAGAGCTCCAAATTTTTTGAAATCTTTTTTAACAGCTATATTGACATGAATTTCTATATAACAGAACTCACCAGTTCATAGTATATACTTCAGCAATTGTTAGTGTATTTACCAAGTTGTGCAGCCATGATTACAATCTAATTTTAGAAGATTTCCATGGCTCCTCAAAGTGACCATTAGCAGTTATTCCTCATTTTCCTTCCTCACTCCCCAGCCCCTGGAAACCACAAATCTACTGTCTCTGTAGATTTGCCTATTCCAGATGCTGAAATATTGGAAATCTTATCTAACCTGAGCAGGGACTGGGGGCCACTGGTCAAGCTTCTGGTTAAGGCCACTTTTTTCTAGGAGCTCCTATCATTCTTATAATATTGATCTGAGCCCAAAAGCTACCCCCTCCCCCCACCTTCAGGGAGCCTAGTTCCCTAGGGATGGGGAGAACCCACCCATCAGCAGGTGAAGTCAGAGCAGTGATGGGCTGCCAGGTGGAAGGCCAGCAACGCAGAGCTGCCACTCACCCCTCCAGCACTTCTAGTGGCTGCCATGCCTGGGCACTGACCAGGCACTCGTAAAAAGCAAGCCCAATGAGGTCCTGGACTCAAGGAGCTTTCATTGCTCAGCCTTTTCTAGTATTTAAAATTTCCTAGCCGGGCGTGGTGGCTCATGCCTGTAATCCCAGCACTTTGGGAGGCCGAGGCGGGTGGATCACAAGGTCAAGAGATTGAGACCATCCTGGTCAACATGGTGAAACCCCGTCTCTACTAAAAATACAAAAAATTAGCTGGGCATGGTGGCACGTGCCTGTAATCCCAGCTACTCAGGAGGCTGAGGCAGGAGAATTGCCTGAACCCAGGAGGTGGAGGTTGCGGTGAGCCGAGATCACGCCATGCACTCCAGCCTGGGTAATAAGAGAGAAACTCCATCTCAAAAAAAAAAAAAAAAATTTCCTAATATGCAACTTGCTATATTCCACCCAGGGGACTTTTCTTTTAAATCAGGTGGAATAGTCACTCTAGATATTTGTATCAAAAAACAACAACAACAAAATTGGAGCATGGCAGCTTGTATCTTATAATGTAGGTGGGAAAGGGACCCCAAACTAAGAAGGTCCTGGTGAAAAATCAAGGAAGACTTCCACAGGGTGAGGGACAAGGGGACCCTCTGGCCTGACTTCACCCTGAAATTGTCACCTGCTTTTGTTCCTGGCAGAAGGCGGGACCAGCAATGGCTATGCTAAAACAGGTTCTCTTGGCGGAGGGAGCCGGCTGGAGAAACAAAGCCTGACTCATGGCAGCAGTGGCTACATAAACTCAAGTGAGTGCCTACTGGTGCCAGTGGTCAGGGACTAATGAGGATAAAGAGACACCAAGAATGTCCTGCAGCGGACACAGGGCAGTCACAATTTTGAATCAGTGCACAAGAGGGACAATTACAATCACCTGTCATCCATTCCAAATGCCCCAAAGAGTTACCTAAATAACACACAGTCATTGGGCAGCAGGGGTGGAGAATGGGGGTGCAAATTCTAAATCATCAGCATTTGAAGCCTACTTAAAATCAGATCCATTTTCATTAAGTCCACAATATAAATTACTATTAATTAAGAAGACTTCATTGGTAGGTTGCTATTTCCCCTTTAAATCACTCTCTTTAAGCCATCTTTTTAGAGAAGGATGTGCATGCCTGAAGGTTTACAATATGATTTAACAACAACAACAAAAGAAACTTAATGATTGGGTTACTGTGCTAAGGGACACTGGTGACATGTTATCCCACACCCTGCAAGGTTCCATTGGGCAAGCATCCAACACAGGCCCATTGTCCCCAGTGAGGCACTCTTTCAAACTAAAACAAAAGAAAGCAAACAAGGCAAAACCAAAGAAAAGCAAGAAGCACCCAGATAGCTCCTGAAACCATTCAAAATACTTAGAAGTGAAACTAAAAAGGAAGCCCCAAGACATAAGAACAGCCAGGCTGACCAAAAGAAACACTTGCCCCTCCCTGTTGAGTCACACTTCCATGCTGGATTATATTCTAGTCCATCCAAGCAGTGTCTACAGGAAAAATCCTGCCAAATTCTTTCCATTTCTATGCATGATAACCATGCATAGGAAGGACATTCCCGGCCAATAGTTCCACCCTTCTGTTTCTGAACAGCTGGGGGAATGCTGAGGCAGCCCCTTTCAATTGTGCCCTCCCAAAGGCCCTCCCTGAGAGTACTTGGTTAATATAGCTGGGTCAGAGTAGCCATTTGGTTCATCTTTCTGCCGAAGCACTATAAGAACTTATGCTTTTCCCCTCTTGCAGGTGGAAGCACACGAGGCCTTGGCTCCACCTCTAGTTACAGGAGGGCTCACTCACCTGCCTCCACTCTGCCGAACTCCCCAGGCTCGACCTTTGAAAGGAAAACTCACGTTACCCGCCATGCATACGAAGGTATCAGTTCCACTAACCGTACAAGAGGACTATTCTCTTCCACAAGCAACTTCACTCATTCTTTGAAGATTTACATACTGGCCACCTGTTCTGCCCCTCACCCTTCTTTCTATCCCTTCATTTTTTTTCTGGGGTCTGGTGTGGTGGCTCAGCACTTTGGGAGGCTGAGGCAGGCAGATCATGAGGACAGGAGAACAGGAGATCAAAGCCATTCTGGCTAACACAGTGAAACCCCGTCTCTACTAAAAATACAAAAAATTAGCCGGGCATGGTGGTATACACCTGTAGTCCCAGCTACTTGGGAGGCTGAGGCAGGAGAATCGCTTGAACCCAGGAGGTGGAGGTTGTAGTGAGCCAAGATCATGTCACCACACTCCAGCCTGGGTGACAGAGCGAGACTCCATCTCAAAAAAAAAGTACACTTAAACTCATTTCTTTTATGGACTTCCATTACTTGAAGAATTCTTTTATTACTTCCATTACTTCATTCATTCACTGCCTCATTTATTCACCCATTTAGTTACTTTTCCAACTAGTGTTTTATCTAATGCCTGTTATGCGTTTAACACTGTGTAGAATGCCTTGATGAATACTTAAATGAATCAGACATAGATCTTGCCTTCAGGATCTGTAGTCCAATAGACATATTAAGATGACAGATAAAATACAACTGTGCAAAGTAGACGGGGATTATCATTTTCAGCTGAGGAAATCAGGGAACACTCTATGGAGGAGGTAACATGTGAGCTGGGCCCTCATGATGAGTAAGAGTTTGATACCCAGAGATGGAGGGATGGGGCTGTCCAGGGTGTGGAAACAGCAGCATAAGCAAAGACAGCCAGGAAAGCCCAGGGCTTAAGTGGGAAATTCAGTGGTACTTAATATGCAAAAGGTTTGAGGGACTCAGATTCAGTGCTAGGATAAGATGTTTAGACTTATTCCATATGCAATGGGAAGCCACAGAGATTTTTCAGCAAAACAATCATATTTGAGGTCCAGGACTAGAACTCTGGAAGCCATGTGTTGGAAAAATTGGTGAGAAAGAGACTGAACACAGTGACAAGTTAAAAGGAAATCCTCATCCTCATACAGTCATCCAGAGAAGGGACATTTTGACTGGGACCAGGTTTGTAACAATGGTGCTAAGGAGCTAAAGGTGAAAGGTATCTCCGAGGTGGAATTGACAGGTTTGGCAATTGATTAAAGGTAAGGAAAAGGCTTTACACACAGGTGGGTTCTTGGTGGTGCCAACAACTGAAACAGGGAATCTAGATGGAGGACTCCACTTGATGAATCCAGCAACTTCATCCTGAAGTACAGCCACTTGCCCAGCTCACTGGTGAGGGTAGCAAGCAGGCTGTGGGTAATGCTGGACTTGAGTTTAGGGAAGAAGTCAGGGCCCAGACATCCAGGTGGAAGCCATTCACAAAGCAATGTTAGAGGAAATCAGAAGAGTAAGGGAATTTGCCAAGGAAGGGAGTATAAAAATTGAAGGAAGCAAATAAAGGTAAAGTGGAAGGAAAAAGGTGAAAGAAGAGCCAGATAACAGAGAGAGAAGGAAAAGTCTTTTAGGGACATGGGGAGACCATAAACATGCAGCAACGCTGAAGTCAACACAAGAGAGTGCTCAGGGTCAAGGAGTCGTAGACACCTGGGTTTCATTACTAAGGTTCCTGACATACCTGGTGATCTGCAGAAGCAGTTTTAGTGGGAAAACAACAAGCCAGACAACCTAGGAGTTTAATGGTAAGAAGAGGTGGGTGGTGGTGCTGGAGAAGCAGGAGTAAGGCACAGACACTCTAGTGAATGATTACAGCCAGCCGGCACCCCACACCCACAGCAGACTCCCTCCTGCGGCTGCAGGACCAGAGCTGCTGGGCCACTGGGAAGCTCCTAATCCAGGTGAGGTAGATTGAATCATCACAGTGCTTTCTGATGTCAGGCCTGAGCAGGGATTTGTACCTTCATTTTAACTGGGTCCACATTTGGGACAAGCCTCACAGGGTCAGAGAGGTCGCTGGTGCTGAGGGCAGGTCACTTGCTCTAGCACAGGCACAAGGCAAGCCCAGTGGAAGAATTGAACAAAAATGAAAGAAATGAAAACCTCCTGCTCTCCTTTGTTTATCCCTGTCTCATCTGAAGTAGGTCCTTGACCAGAGTGAAGAGTTGTGACCAGGGCCATGATGTGTTGTCTTTGCATCATGAGCCTGGCTCCTTTGAAATGCATGCTGAAGAGCACACCTCATCCCCTCCTGAAACACCGAGGGCTGTGGAGGTCCAGAAAGAAGTAATAGGCACTACCTCCCCTTTTGGAAGCTTTATGGGCCTAAGAAGCCATTTGTTCTAAGTGTTTTATCCCCTCTCTAGGGAGCTCCAGTGGCAACTCTTCTCCGGAGTATCCTCGGAAGGAGTTTGGTATGTCCTCTCCTTATTTTCTAAAGAAATGGTCAAACGAGGCACTAGGAAAATGCCTGGGGGAGATCAAATGGCAGGAGTAGGGGACATCAGGAGCTAAATGGATTCTTCTAAAGGAGTTTGACCTCTGCTGATCTATTTTTCCCTTGCTCTTTATCCTGAAGCATATTAAGGGGACTGTCAGCCACATTAACTTGCTGTCATAAGCCTTTGCTCGTGGCACTATAGAAATGGTAAGCTGGCTCAGGCTTGGATGGATAATCCCCTAAAGCCAAACAATAATTGTAGGGATTCTTCTTTCCATGAGATGCACATGAAACCAACAAGGCAGACCAGCAAGTAAAACACACAAATGCCAGGCATCCCAGCACCTTCACTATTGCTTGCTTTCAAGGGCACTGTATAGGCTTCATGAACCCCCAGGCTGTGTCTTCATTTGGCTTTAAGTTTTGGATCCATGTTCTTGGAATCTCACTATGCATATAAATTGATACTATGATCATGGATTATACAGTGATTATAACTTTATGTATTTGCTTACAATGGGGAAACCATGACACTCAAATAAATAATCAAAGGGAAGACTTGGGAGCTTTTTGATACATTTGATCAGTGTAGTCAGCCAGTCCAAAAGGATCATGCTCCCCAACAGATTACCTTAGCTAACTGAACACTCTAAATGTTAGCTCACTTAACATTTGTTTAGCTTTAACATCATAAATATACTACGGCATTGAAAAACATTCTCTGCTGTTGCTAAGTGGTCATCATTTATTAAGCAACTGCTATACAGAAAGCCCCTATCTGGATTTAGACACACTATGAAAGTAACCCCTGCCCACATATATCTGCCTCCATGTAAAAAGTATTTAGCATGCCACCTCTTATATATGCCTAAAATTGCATTTCTTTGTTTCTCAGCCTCTTCTTCAACCAGAGGACGGAGTCAAACACGAGGTGAGTGCTGTCACTGGGTTCAGTCCAATTCATTCAACAAGTATATTCTGAGCAGCTAATGTGTGTCCAGCCTTGAGCCAGGGAGTGTAAGGGGTACAGAAGAATAAACAAGGCATGCTTTCTGCCTTCGAGAAGCTTCGAGTATCCTGGGAATCTTCCACTGGCTCTATTAGGAGGGGCAGGGTAGCTTTTGACAGTAATCTAACAAGCATGTAGAGGCAGGAATCAAAACATATAATAACAATGTGGGGCATCATTTGCTTTGCTGTGGATCATCTGAAGATGCAGATACCACATATATTTTCACTTCTGGTCTCCTGGTTGACTTTAACAAAATATGCTTTAATTGCCTTTACATGTCAAAAGATGAGCAAAATCTTCCTAATCTTTTTTTCAAAATTCATCCAGGAGATAAACAGCTACATGACAGTTTTGTAATCTCATCATCTAGACAATGATATAGGAGAGAAATGTGGTCCTGCGAGAAGCAGCCCTTGCTAAGCTTTGGGCAGGGTGGGGGCAGCATGTTAGGGACGGTGAAGGCAGAATTCTTCACAATGACCCACCTAGACTTCCTATGGGCCTTATTATCATCAATAACTTGGAAGTTAGGAGTATGCCAACCACCACAACCTTAGGTTGATAGTTGAAAAATGCCAACTGTCCACCTGCAGCTAACTAATAATGTTAAGCTACCAACTTCCTGCCCTTCCCATCTCTAAAGACGCCAGAATGGCAAGTAAACACTCTGGCTTTCAGAATCTCTTGCCAATGCCTGAGACCTTGGAGGCAGGAGAGAACCTTGGTTCTGGCAACTGTGAGATGGATGACGGGGAAAGGGTTGACCATTGTTGACTGTATTGGAACCTCTTTGCTCAGCCTGGGATTTTGTTAGAACATATCCAGCTGCCTGGGAGGTGTGCAGTTGGCAGGAGGGGGAATTGTTGGAGATGGGGTGGTCTTCCTTTTTAAGCAGCACTTGTCTTGGGCAAACCTAGATTACCTGTTTCCAGATCTCAGAAATCTCAGAACAGCCTAAAGGGTCATGTGCTTCTAGGAGTTCAGTGTCAGAGATTGTGATCTAAACTCCTTTGTTCACACCTTTCTCCATCTCTTCCCTTGTACAGAGAGTGAAATTCGAGTTCGACTGCAGAGTGCGTCCCCATCTACCCGATGTAAGTGATCATGATCTTGCTGAAAAGAAAGGGTCCAGAAATTCACGGCTAATGCTGTGTGTATGTGTCCACAAATTTTTTATGCAATCATAAAACATCTTTAAGGGGTTTCAGTAAATTGGATCCTGGGCCAGGTGCTGAGGTTAAGCTGCTGAGTAAACTATGGTTCCTGCTGCATAATAGTTCACAGACTAACAGGGAGACAGTAAGTTAACCAATCATCACAACTCAGTGTGGTGAGGGAGCAGGGAGGAGCAGCTCCACCATAGCCCAGGGAGATCAGGTCAAAGAGGCCTTCCCAGGTTAGGCGTTACCTGAAAGGAAACTGAGGAGTGGGTCAGTTAGTCTTAGAGGGATGAGCCTGCATGAGACATCAATGGGATAGCTGAAGATTAGAGAAGGGTCAGTAGCAGAGGATAAGAGTTTGAAGTTTATCTCAAATGCCAGAGACCCCCCAGTCTCTGTCTATTGACTATGTTAGATACCTGTTGTTCTTGCTAGAGGTATTTAACATTTCGAAATGAGCTTAACTTTTAGGACAGCAGCCAAGTACAAGGAGTAGGAGAAGAAAAAGCAGGGACAGTGGCTCAGAACAGAGATGGGGGTTGTCCAGAGAGCTCAGTGCCTAGGGTTGTAGAATCTAACTACAGGCCTGACACCTCACCTGAATCCTTCCAGGCTTAGGGGCAGCAGGGCGAAGAGAGTGGGGGCTGAGGTTCCTTCAGCATACATTGCAAACCTGTTTCTCTTCTCATGCACTACCCATGCACGATACCTCCCACCTCTCCTGCTTCCCTGCTTCCTGTGTGGGAGGCACAGGGAACTTGCTCCATTTTCCACCTTGCTACAGATTAAATCAGCCAGACAGACTTGAAATTAAATCACACATGAACACAGCATAATGTTTAGGAGTTATGGGCCACAAATTCCTTTTGACACCCCAAGCATACAAGGTCAGGGACCCAACATCTGACGCATCCTGCGCAGGGGATGAGACTACTGTTAAAGCATCTGTTTGAAGGGACCTGGTTTTCTAACCACCTGATCCTGGATGATAGTGTCTTCCAGTCACAGAATCATTCCTGAGATATTTCATGAGGTCTAATTAGGAAATATCTCCCAAGCACCTTGACCTCCTTGTGAGAGGCAGAAGATTTATGAGACTGTTAATATGACAAACTACCAAGTTGATAAGTGCAATTCATTGGTAAAATGTGAATATTATAAAGCCAAGCGAAAAGTCCCAATGTGTGAAGCAAATGCCATTCTCCCCAGTAGCCAGAATGCCACAAATGTTCCCCCACCTGCACAGGGACTCAGGAAAGAAACCTGGACTTAACAGAAACATGTGTGGATTCTTTTACAGGGACAGAATTGGATGATGTTAAGCGTTTGCTCAAGGGGAGTCGATCGGCAAGCGTGAGCCCCACCCGGAATTCCTCCAACACTCTCCCCATCCCCAAGAAAGGCACTGTGGAGACCAAAATTGTGACAGCGAGCTCCCAGTCAGGTAAGTCTGACAGCCCAGGCTGCAGAGGAGTGTGAGAAACAAACTTACACGTCCAAACCAGGCTGGAAGTGGTGGATTGATAACTCAAGAGGTGGGATGTGAGTTAGAAGTCCTTTTAACCCAAGGGATGACAGGGTAGAGGATAGGGCCAGTATATAATTTCTTAAAAATTGGTCTTTGGTTTCCACAGTAGGAAGTTCAGTAGTCCTACCTAAATATGGTAGTCTATATAATAATTTGTAAGAGGACAATCCCAAGTCTTTCCTTGGGGCTGTTCTAATCCAAAGGAGTGCTATTGGGAGACATTAAAGGCATTTTAGTTTTTAAGATTAGTTTAGTAATATGCTTTTTGAGTTTGATTTATTCTACTTTTCCAGAGGAAGGGGGATACCAAGGGGTGTGGTAATTCCATTTAATGTGTAAACTTTCCATAATTCCCCTTAGCACCCTGGGGGTAAAGTGGCTCCCATTGTCTAAATTAATATTTTTTACCAGGCCAAATCTAAGTATAATTTGTTTTAAGATTATTTTTGGCCAGGCACAGTGACTCACGCCTGTAATCCCAGCATTTTGGGAGGCCAGGGTAGGCAGATTACCTGAGGTCAGGAGTTTGAGACCAACCTGGCCAACATGGTGAAACCTCGTCTCTACTAAAAATGCAAAAATTAGCCAGGCATGATGGCAGGCGCCTGTAAATCCAGCTACTCAGGAGGCTGAGGCAGGAGAATCGTTTGAATCTGGGAGGCAGAGATTGTAGTGAGCCGAGATCACCCTACTGCACTCCAGCCTGGGAGACAAGAGTGAGACATTGTCTCAAAAAAAAAAAATATATATATATATATATATAATTTTTACCACATTCCCAATGGTGGCAGTTGGAAGGGGAAGGCCTCCACCCAGCTGGAGAGGTGGTTTACCATAACAAGTAGATACTTTAGTCTCCCTATTTTGGGCTTTTCTGTAAAATCTACTTAAATGCTCTGAAATGGCCTTAACCCACAAGGTCTTCCTCCAGTAGTCTGTTTTCTAACTACCTTTTTGTTTATTCTCTGGCACATTACACAACACCCACACACTTGTTTAGCAAGGGTATAAATCCCTATACACCCATACTTTTTGAGTATTGTATCACACATGGCATGGAGACCCCACCAACTTCCCTTATGCAGTATGGACATTAGTTTTCTCATTACGGGTTTGCTTATCATTTCTCTCCCATCAGGGATCACCCATCTCCCATCCTTAGTTTGAGTGGACCCCATCTTGCCCAGCTCTTCCTCCTCCTCCTTAGAAAATTGGGGTTTTAATATCACTTTAGGGATATTTGTGATTAGGTTAAACAATCTACCTTTTTCCTCCAGGGAGGCTTGCGCGCCTTTATCCACAAGCCTGTTCCCTATAGCTTCTATGTGTTTTCTTTCTAGGGGTCATTTACATGAATTATGGCTGTCTCTGCTGGAAGCAAGAAGCTTTTTAGAACTTGTTTGATCAGTTCCCCATGTACCAATTCTTTCCCCCTGCTGTTTATTAGGCCTTGCTCTGTCCAGATCTTTTTAAAGGTATATACCACTTCATAGGCATATTTGGAATTAGTATATACAGTGCCTTTTTGGCCTTCTAGGAGCTTCAGGGCCTGGTTAAGAGCATGTAATTTGCAGGTTTGGGCTGACAATTATTGGGTAATCTACCTTTTTCACATAAGGATTGTTTGTTTCTATTAATGATAGCAAAGCCATTGTGTTTTTTACCATTTATTACTTGGGATGACCAATTTACGGTCTCATCCTATCATGTGGTGGGGTGGTTTAATTTTAGTTTGATATTAAGGTCTGGTTTAACTTTATTTTTTTTATTTTTCAATAAATATTTGTGGAACGAATGAATAGGCATCTTAGCAGGAATTAGCTTATTGGTTCACTTTCCCCTGTAAAAAAATATTAAAGTAGGAGATGAGAAATCTAATACCAACTCTGCCATTAATTAGCTGTGTGATTCTGACAAAGTAGGTAAATTTTTCTTTTTTTTTTTTTGAAAGAAAGAAAGAGAAAGAGAAAGGGGGAGAGAGAACAAGAGTCTTGCTCTATTGCCCAGGCTGAAATGCAATCTAAAAATCGGTATTAAAAACCTCTTTTATGCCGATAGTTATGCTTAACAGCAGAGTCAGGAAGGAATAAGGGAAGAAAATAACAAACAAACAGCCAACCAATATTTCATTTAATTCTGTAAAATGCTATGCAAATGCTGAAGAGTGATTTACTTCCAATTATGTGGTCACTTTCAAAATAGGTGTAATGTGATACTGAGCAAAATGTATGTTCTGTAGACCTGGGGTGAAGAATTCTATAAATATTCACTGAGTTTACTTGTTCCAGGTCTGAGTTCAAATCATAGATGTCCCTGTTAATTTTCTATTTCGTTGATCCATTGAATATTAACAATGTGGTGTCAAAGTCTCCCACTATTATTGTGCGGGAGTCCAAGTCTCTTTATAAGTCGTTAAGAACTTGACTTATGTATCTGGGTGTTCCTATATTGGGTACATATATATTTATAATCATTGACTCCTGTTGTTGCATTGATCCTTTACCATTATGTAATGTCCTTTGTTTCTTTTAGTCTTTGTTACTGTTAAAGTCTATTTTGTCAGAGACAAAAGTTACAACTCCTGTTTTTTGTTTTTTTTTTTTTTGCTCTCCATTTGATTGGTAAGTCTTCCACCAACCCTTTGAGTCTTTGTGTGTTGAGTCTTTGTGTGTCCTTGCTTATGAGATGGATCTGGATACAGCATACGGATGGGTTTTGACTTTTTATTCAATTTGCCTGTCTGTGTCTTTGATTGGGGCATTTAATCCATTTACATTTAGGATTAATATTGATATTTGTGAGTTTAATATTGTCGTTTAATGCTAGCTGGCTATTTTGCCCATTAGTTGATATAGATTCTTCATTATGGAGATACTCTTTACCTTTTGGTAAGTTTTTGGGATGACTGATACTGGTTGCTCCTTTCTGTGTATAGTGCTTCTTTCAGAAGCTCTTGTAAAGCAGGCCTGGTGGTGATGAAATCTCTGAGTGCTTGCTTGTTCGTGAAAAATTTCATTTTTCCTTCATTTATGAAGTTTAATTTGGCTGGATATGAGATTGTAGGTTGAAAATTCTTTTCTTTGAGGATATTGAATATTGACCCCCACTCCCTTCTAGTTTGTAGGGTTTCAGCTGAGAGATCTGCTGTGAGTCTGATAGACTTCCCTTTATGGGTAACCTGACCTTTCTCTCTAGCTGCCCTTAGAATTTTCTCCTTTATTTCAACCCTGGTGAATCTAATGATTATGTGTCTTGGGGTTGCTCTACTTGAGGAATATCTTTGTGGTGTTCTCTGTATTACCTGGAGTTGAGTATTGTCCTGCCTTACTAGGTTAGGAAAGTTTTCCTGAAGAATATTTTCCAGCTTGGATTCATTCTCTTCATGACATTCAGGTACACCTATCAAACGTAAATTAGGTCTTTTCACATAGTCCCATATTTCTTGGAGACTTTGCTCATTCCTTTTTACTCTCTCTTCTCTAATCTTTGTCTTCTCGTTTCATTAAGTTGGTCTTCAACCTTGGATATCCTTTCTTCTGCTTGATCAATTTGACTGTTAAAACCTGTGCATACTTCATGGAGTTCTCGTATTGTATTCTTCAGTTCCATTAATTCACTTATATTCCTCTCTAGATTGTCTATTCTCATTAGGATTTCGTCAAACCTTTTTTCAACGTTCTTAGTTTCTTTACATTGGGCTAGAACATGCTCTTTTAACTCACAGAAGTTTCTTATTATCCACTTTCTGAAGCCTAATCCTGTTACTGGAACGCATTCGTTCTCCATCAGGCCTTGTTCCCTTGTTGATGAGAAACTGTGATCCCCCGTAGAGGGAGAGGCATTCTGATTTTGGGTATTCTCAGCCTTTTTACGCTGGTTTCTTCCCATCATTGTAAATTTATCCACCTGTCGTCTTTGTAATTACCGACTTTCAAATTAGGTCTCTGAGTGGATGTCCAACTTGTTGATTCCCAGCGCCAGAATCTGAGCAACCCACTGTGCCGGCTAAAACAGTGGCATTAAGATTCATGGTGCTTTTCTGCCCAGGAATCTCCGTTCTGGCTTCCTTCTTGAGTCCCTTTTTCAATCAGCTGAATAGGCGACTCTGCCTTCCTGGAGCTCCAAACATCAACCAAAAGGGGAGCCAGTCCTGTTTACTCTGCACCGAGAACCGCTGAGCCGGGGTGTGGGCAAAACCACCACGCCAGTCACAAGAGTCGTGCTGGCGACCCGTGGGGCTCCTCCACTGGGAATCTCCTGGTCCATGAGCAACAAAAATTTGTCTGAAAGTGTGGCGTCCTCTCGTTCTCTGCGCTTTCACTGGGAGCTACAATCCTGAGCTGCTGGTAATCAGCCATCTTGGATCTCTCTCTCAGATCTGGTTTAACTTTAGTTTGGTATTCTATGATATCTAAACAGTTGTGGTTTGATGCCTCTTTATTCTCCTCTCCTTTTCTTAAGAAACTGGCTGTATTCAAGCAAATATATGTTGTCAAGACTAAATTATCTTTTTCTAATAATATGGCTTCACATATTACATTTTGGGAATTAGTTAACCATTTTCCAGCTCTTTGATTTAATATATTCCTGACCTAATATGGGGTGCTCACTAACAGAACCCTGCCGAGGGTGTTAGGGGAAGATCAGCTTCTTACTCCTCTCTATCAGCAGGGCCGTGGCAGCCACCACCCACCTGCACATTTGCCCCCCTTTCTTCCGTCTTCCATAGCTCTCTCTGTTTCTGTCTCTCTCTCTTCCTCCTGTGCTCTCTTCCTTTTACATTATCTCTACATTAATCTCTGTCTTTTCCAGTCTTTCTCACTTTTTTCTTTTTTATTCTCTCTCTCATCCCGTTTCCTCTTTCCCTCACACTTTCTCTGGGCACCAGTGCATTCTCCATGTTAAGTAACAGCTTACTTACATTAGCTCTCTCACACTGTCTACCTTTATTTTGTCTGTTCGCTTTGGCTCTGTGGCTCCTGCTGCCCCTATACCTGTAACTGCACAGCTGGCTCTCCTTTGCCTTCAGGGTCAGCAGCTTAACTCTCTCTCTCTGGGCACCAGTGTGAGCCATTCCATGGCTCCCCTCTGTCCGTCTGCAAGATGGACAGCTTTGGCTTTCTCTCTTTCTTTTTCCAATTTCTTTCCTCACTTTTTACAAAAACCTTCTGCGCTTCCTTCAGTAATTCCTTAATTGGTTTTTTATTCCATCCATCAATTTTTTTTTTTTTGCAATTTCTTAGTAATATGAGGCCAGCTTTTAATCACAAAATTAACCTTTAAAAGGCCTTGCCCTAATGGGTCCTCTGGATCTAATCCTGAATGTTGTTGTTGTTGTTTTTTAAATCCCTGAGCCTCTGCAGAAACACAGAGGGAGTCTCCTCTTTTTCTTGTTGGATCTTGAATGCTTATTAGAGACATTCTGTGTCCTTGGAGTGGACTCTTTAATCTCTTTAATTATTCATTCCCTTAGGTCGTGCATTTGGGTCAATCTTTGGAGTTATTGTTATTCCATCTGGGATTTGCATTTGGGAATTTCTGCTCAGCTGGCAGGACTCCTTGCTTGAGGATGCTCTCTCTTCCAAATGCTCATGGCTGCCCTTTTAATTATTCCCCTCTCTTCCCCAATAAACAGAATATTTGTGATTGACATCATCTTAGCCCAAGTACAAAAATTGGGTCCTAAAAATTGATCTAGCTGCTTTGCTAAACTGAGGAGATTTTTCAAGAGTGGCCTTATTTCCTGTTTAAAATTCCTAACCTCAGTACTTGTTAGAGGCACACTCACAAATCCAACTCCTCCCTGTCCCAGAGGGACTTCTTTAAAAGGGTACATATTAGACATCTGCTGTTTAGAAGGAATAGAGAAATTCTCGATGTCCTTCTTACATTGTTCTAACCCTTTCCTCAAGTTTGGATAAGGATTTTAGGGAGCATTGAGTTTAGCTTCTCTATGACCCCCAGATTCCTCCTCCTTCAGCCTTCTTCTTGCCCCCGATCTTCCTCTCCTCTACTTTGTGAGATGTAAGGTAGGGGCAAGGGTGTTAGGGGATCCCAAGGCTTTTTATTGAGCAAGGGCTTTTTACTTATGCTCTTTTTTTTCTTCTTTCAATGGGAGCATGAGGGTTAATTTACTAATTTAACAAAGAGCATAACCCATCTCCTCTTGTGCTGATGGGGTTTTATTATTCATATAGAGAATTAAAGCTTGGCATACCCAATTCTCATTTGAGCCAAACTTAGGCCAAAAGACCAAAGGTTGACAAATGGGCTCTTTGGGCCAGATAAAACAGTAATACTTTATCACTGTTTGCTTTTTCTTGTCCGTGGTTCAAGGGTTATCCCTTAAAAACCTGCAGCATTTTGTCTAATGGACTCTTTGGGAGAATGTTAGAAGGGGTCTTTTTAGTCCCCTCTTATGTTGGGTAGGGGCTTTAGGTGATTTTTTAGGGTTGTCTTGCTGCATTTTGTTGCAGCCCATAATGGATTGCAATCCTAATTGGCTTAGGGGTTCTTCAAGTATTTGACTTATGACCTAAGTAGCTGGGCAAACTGATAAGAACAGACAAAATGAGCTATTTTGCAGTCTAGTAAACTTTTATCTTAGACTAAACTTCTTTGGTTTGAGTGGGGGAAACTAAGAGCAGGGGACGCTGGCAGGGAAGGGAGAGGCCAATAAGTAGGCATTAGTGATCCAAGCAAGGGCCTAGTATATGCTGTTTCTTCTGTAGTTTGCTGACCTAAGCTAATTGAAGGCACTTTTCTTGGAAATGGACCACTGTATACATTATTTCTTTCAGGAGGGAAGGGAACAAGGTGGCAGATGTATCCTGACTTGGGGATTCAACCACGCTTTGGCACGCCTTTCAGGCTTTGCCAGAGACCTTGCAAAGCACTGACCATCTGCTCTTCAAGCAGTGAAAAATGTGGGCTGTATCTATCCTACCCCTCACTGGTCACCCATTCTACATACTTGCTGTAGCCCAGTCCTAAATCCTAGAGATTCTTTCCCAGGAGTGTATGTTTACCAGGTTCCCCAAATGAAGAATATTGGGTAAATTTATAGAGTTTTCATTCATTTATTCAATGACTCTTTATTAAATGTCTCCTCTATGCCAAGCACCAGGCATTAAGGAAAAGCAATGGACAAGAGAGACACAGTCACTGCCCTTGTGGACAGTGGGTCTCTGAAGAAAGTCAGAAAACCAACATGTCCCAGTTGAATAGGATGAGTATTGTTCAGTTGTTCTATATTACTTGGCCCCCAAGTGCAAGGTAGGTTCTATGGGAGGCAGAAATATAAATTAGCAGAGCCATGGAAGGAGATGAGGAAGAGCCAGATCTACTATGATAGGAAACTTCCCTCCCATTTGCTACTAGAGAAAAGCCTGGAGATTGTGATCTTTCTTGTTTTCACCCTAAAACAAAAACCTCAGGGCACATTCTGACCTTCATGGCTGGCTCCCTCTCACAGGCAAATAAGCAGAACTGACCCCAAATATGAAAAAGCATGAAAATCTCCTCTTGGGGGCACAGTGTTCCTTGTGTCTGGCTGGTACATAGGAATGTGTAAGGAGGGTAGAACCAGAGAAGGCTGCCATGCATGCAGTGTGGCCCAAGACCAATGGCTCCCCTGCCCAGGCATGCACCCTGCAATGGCCATGGTGCCTGGAATTCTACTGAAAGAGGTTTACTTTGGGGTCTTATTTGTTGCTCCTGAGAGAACTGTTCCCTCCGTGTCTGTGAAGATGGAGGAGTTGGCAACAGGTGGAGAGGAAGACCATTGGTGGGACAGCCTACCAGGAGATGGGGAGCCAGGTTTAGAAGGAGAAACAGGTGGACCCCACAGCAAAATCTGGCCACCTCAAATTTTACCAGGAGCCAGCAAAAATTTCGAATCCAAGAGATAATGTTTTCACCAGCTCTGAGATTTCAGGTGGAAACTACCTCAGGTTCCTGGACTGAGAAAATTCCTGAAATGTGGGACCTTCAATGCCCAAACCTGGAAAATCCCAGCAAAATGAGATGACCAGGTTCCCCAGCAGGAAATGTTGACTTGTCTCTCACCTGGGGTGTGTGCACCTGTCTGTTTTCAGTGTCAGGCACCTACGATGCAACGATCCTGGATGCCAACATTCCCTCGCATGTATGGTCCTCCACCTTGCCTGCAGGGTCCTCCATGGGGACCTATCACAACAACATGACAACACAGAGCTCGTCCCTCCTCAACACCAATGCCTACTCTGCAGGATCAGGTACATGGTGGGCAGCCCACACCTTCCCTCACCCCTGAACTCGGCATGTCTTTATCCTGGAGCTGAATGACCCCCGGAATGTTTGCCATTCTCATGGCCTCCTGGAAAGGCGTTCTGTGGCCAAACATCCCAGGAGATTGCCCCTGGAACTTCAGTTCAATTCCATCTAGAAGGTGTAGGCCAGGTACAGTGGCTCATGCCTGTGATCCCAGCACTTTGGGAGGCCAAGGCGGGTAGATCACGAGGTCAGGAGTTCAAGACCAGCCTGGCCAAGATAGTGAAACCCTGTCTCTAGTAAAAAAAAAATACAAACAAACAAAAAACCTAGAAGGTGTTTCTTCCAGTGTGTCCGCTTTAGAATATATAGTACAATGTATCAGGAAAAATGGAAAGAACACTGAAAATGGATATAGGAGACCTAGTTTCATTTCATATGAATTGATTGTGGGATCTTGAATAAGTCATTTGACTTCTCTGAGCTTCCAGGACCATCTCTGTAAAATGGGGTCACTCACAAGAGAGCCTTTGGCTGGACCCACTGTCCACTCCAGGTCTGACTGACCTGAGATCACCTATTGGCTGTGACTCATGGTGCAGTGCAGGCTAGTGTTTGATTCTGTGCTGCAAGGCAAGAGTCTGTTTTTCCTAAAAACAAAAATTTACCAAAATATAAAAACCCAATCCTGGCATTTCTTCTGGTGCTTCCATGATACCCAAATCTCTGTCCCTTTCTGGACCAGATATCCCTCTCATCAGCCTTCCTCCTTGCCCCTACAGTCTTTGGAGTTCCAAATAACATGGCATCCTGCTCCCCCACTTTGCACCCGGGACTCAGTACATCCTCCTCAGGTCAGTGTCACCATCTTGAGATGCCTTTTCTAGGCTATTTGCATAAAAATGTTAGAATGCTTTGCCCAAGAGCATGAAGGACTTTCCTCCATGCATACTGCAGCCCAGAAGCAGAGGCCACGGGGCTGCACAGAGCCTGCCCTCAACCACAGGGAGAACTCAGACCCCAAGGGAAAGGTCTCAGGCGAGGGGACATGAGCCCACACAGACATGCATATTCTAAGGTGGTGCCTTTATTTTCTGAAAGAGTTGGAGGATTGGAAGGGAAGGGTCTAACTGAATCATAGTGTAGGACATTTTCAGGGTAAAGGCATTGTTAATTTAGAAGGATTTTACTTCAGATCTTTATAAGAAAAGTAGTAGTTCATTGAGTAACTACTTTCAGATCTTTCTATAAATGTAGCACATAGTTTGTTGGAGTAACTACATTGGAGTAAATAATGTTACTGCTTAGCTTCCAATGCAAACATGCAGCAATTTAAAATAAATAAATATTTGCTATGTTTTCACATACATCTTAAGAGCCTATATGTAAATGTTACCAGCCTACATCTTTTCTTTTTAAAGGAGTCTGCCTTCTCCCTGTGATATTGTGACAAATATCACAATGTGGGCCTTGTTTCTTTGCTTGACTGATATAGTTGCAAGTACAAGTTTTGCATGCAGATTTTCAGCACCTTCCTCTGATTGATTAGAAGCCCACCAAATCCAGAAGACATTGACTACATGTTTTATTTTTTCTGCCTTTGCGTCCTGATAAAACCAGGTCCCAAGGCTGATATCAAATCCTTGATCTTGTGCCCCAAATACTAGATAGGCTGGAACAAAAAAAGCTGCTGGCCAGGAAGAATAAGCTTCTGCACATTGTTGAAAACAAACAAGCAATCAAATAAACAAGGAGCCTTGGAAATCATAGTTGAGGTGGGGGAGTTTTCTGTGTTTGTGTCAGGAGAAGGAAGGGCTAAGGGGAATGCTAGGAGTTTGCCAAGTTAGTGCCTCTCAGCACCCAAGGAGTCTGTGTCCATATCCCACATTTACAGTTCCCACACTGCACCAAGGCACCCCAGGGTGTCAGAGGAAACAGGGAACCCCTACGATGTTTTTAAATTTTGAGAGATCTGTCAGCAACATCTATCAGACCCTGTGTGAACTACTGCTTTTAAGTTGCATGTACCTAACTATGTGATAAGTAGAATTATTCGCAATTTTTGGCCTGGGATAGGTAGGTGGGGGCATTAACAAAATTACTGTGTTAAAAAGAGTATGGAAACTGAGGAAGTTTGGAAATCTCTGTCATCAGTAAAAACATTGATCATAAAAGTGGTTTAGGGACTCCGGGGGGCCATCTTAAGCCAGGGCACATCCCCTGTGCACCCTGTACTCACCTGCCCTCCGTTGCTTTCACAGTATTTGGCATGCAGAACAATCTGGCCCCCAGCTCGACTACCCTGTCCCATGGCACCACCACTACTTCCACAGGTCAGTAGGCCAGGGTTGGAGCTTAGGGACTGGGAAGTGACCCCTCTTTGCAGCTACAACTCACTGAATTAAAAGACCCAAAATTTCCCTGAAAATCAGTCGACCTTTCCTGCCAAAGAAACAGCACCCCCTGCCCTTACCTGGAGATGTCAATCTTGATCATTAGCTGGCTCAGACGTGAGTCAAGCACACAGGGAAGGCTGTCCTGTCAACAGCATCACCTTGTGAGGTATCACTTGTATGTTCCTGTGTCTTTCACAGCCAAACTGGTCAGGTTGGTGGTCTTGCTAGCTCACTGCTATCCTTGACAGCCCACTGTCACTGCAAATCAATCATCTGGTTGATTTTATGGTACACTCCTTACAGGTTGCTGCTGCTGTGCAAATCTGGGGGTGGGTGGGGACACGAAACCTAGGTCATCCTTTGCCCCCAACTTACCTGCTACTTAATTGCAGGAGAAAGTCTAACACACATGAGACAATGCGAAGCTCTATAAGACAATGGGAATAAGTGATAGGCTGTGCAGAGCAGGTTTAAGGGCTGAAGGAGTTCAGGAGGGAAGGAGATGCATGAGGTCTAGAAGGACTTCCTGGAGGTGGCTAGAAGGATGAAGAGGATTATAGCCAAGAACATTCCATCTAAACCCTCAGTGCTCTCCCCATGGCTGGAGAGGGTTGATTCATCATCTGCTTCTCACTGGAGGGGGTCAGGAGCATCTCTCTGCCAGAATTGACCAGGCTTTTCCTGAGTCATCTGGAACCACCCTCCCATGCTGACCCAGTTTCCTTTCTTGCAGCATATGGGGTGAAGAAAAACATGCCCCAGAGCCCTGTGGCTGGGAACACTGGTGTTTCCACCTCTGCTGGTGAGTGCCGCTCCTAGCTGCCAGGGGTCAGGCTGGTGCACAGAGAGGATTACTCTGCAGTACACATGGTATACTGGAAAAGGAAATAGGACCCATGATTGGTCTTAGGCCTACAAATGCAACTTGCCCCAAGGACCTCTTGGATACTTCCATGAGTGAATAAAGGTCCTATCTGAAGGAGATAGGAAGCTCCACCCTCCATATCTGCCTTGGGCCAGGCACTTGCACATTAGCCACTGACCTGTTATGTGCAATCCATAGAGCCCTCAGAAGCTGCTGGCACCCTCCCTACTTTCTATAGAATCTATATCAACTTTGTCCACATAATTCAGCTTCCGTTGTTCTAATCCTGGAGTGTGTTGTCTTCCATTCTACAGTTCATTTATTGGAAAGCCTTTACTGATACAACCTTCTTTGTGTCAGATGGACACTGTTCTAAGTGCTGACAGTACAGCAGTAAACATGACAGAATAGATTTCTGCCTTCACTAAGCTGACATTAGTGGTGGAGGCAGATGACAAACACACAAAGTATGCAAGACAATTACAGAAAAGAACACAGATTTTTAAGGACAGCAGTGAGTGATGTGGTAGAGACAGGAGTGTGTGTATGAGGGTTAAGTAAGTGCTTTAGATGGGGTGGTCAGGAAGTCTCCCCAAGAAGGCAACACTTAAGACCTGGAGAATAAAAATGAACCCAAGTTAGTTAAGAAAGGACTTACCTGACTATGGAGACTTTAACACATTCAATAAAGATCCTATAATCTTCAGGAGGGGAGGCAGCCCCATAAGCCAGAGATTCTTATATCGACCCAAACTCTTGGTGGCCAGGCCCAGCAAGGCATAGAGGGTGTCCTTAGTCCTCAAGATGCTTCATAGTAACCACTGTCAGCAAGAACAGGAGACTCTCATACACACCTGCTAATTTAACCACCCTACCCCACTTCTTTTTCTTCTCCTTCCTCTTCTTGTCTTTTCTCCCCTCTCCCGGCACATGTCCTTCCTTCTCTCCCATTTTCTTCCTCCCCAGCCTGCACCACAAGTATGCAGAATGATGACCTTTTGCACAAGGATTGCAAGTTCCTGATCCTAGAGAAAGACAATACACCTGCCAAGAAGGAGATGGAGCTGCTGATCATGACCAAGGACAGTGGCAAGGTCTTTACGGCCTCACCAGCCAGCATCACTACAAGTGCGTCAGAGCCTGTGTGACGGGTTTCAGAAGAAAGGCAAATAGTGTAGGAGACCAAATGTCCTAGCAAGGTGATTTGAGACACTGTGAGTCAGGAAACCACAGCCATCCCATTCTAATGAAAAGCCCTTGTCTGAATAGCATGTTCCAGGTCTTCCTTGAATGCAGACGAGCTGAGAAAATTCAGGAAAAGAGCTCTCAGAGAGGCATTTGGGCGACAGCAAGTCTAACCACAAACACAGATCAGGGAAGATGAACCCTGGAAAAGAGGGGCTCTTTTTATCAGGCTAACCTTAACCTTCCTAAGTAGGGTAGTGGGCAGGGGCAGGGTGGAACATGGGACAGAATTCAGAGATTGAGAAGAAAATATGCCAGGTTATAATGGGTTCTGTGCACAGCTTCTTTTTCAGAAGACACCCTAAAAAAAGAAAAGCAAGCTGCCTACAATGCTGACTCAGGCCTAAAAGCTGAAGCTAATGGTAAGAACAAATAATGATTGTTGTCCACCTTGACTTCAGCCAGGCCACATTTCATTTATTGTCTTTGAAGACCTTGCTAATCAAAGTGTGGTAAATGGGCCAGTAGCATCGGTCACACCTGGGAACATGTTAGAAAAGCAGGATCTCAGCTTTAGCTCAGATCTGCTGAGTCAGAAGCTGCATTTTAACAAGCGTCCTAGATGATTCACATGTGCACACTATTGAAGCAAAAGCCTGCCACTGCTATGTCTACAATGGTGTTTACTCATTTTCTTTATCTCTGTCATCTTCAGAACTAATAGAAAAATGCTTTTCAAAGCATTTATTAGCTTTACTTTTTTTTCTTCCCAAATATCTGCATTCTTTGTCCGATAACCACGTTTCTTCACAACGCCCTGTAGGACTCTTTCCAAATCCCTGATTTCAGGGAGGTCAGTAAAGGAAGGAAAATGTTGTCATAGAACATTTTTAAATAAATGCAAATTAAATAAGTTATCATTTTAACAAGGTGAGAGATTGGAACCTGACTCTAAGTCTTTAAAGTTAGCAGTTCCTGACATTTTAGGGGTAGGTCTAGGGCTGTGGAATTAAAAGATCCTTTTCAGAATCTGATGAAAGGTAAGAACAAATTGGCCTGTAAATTCCACATATGCCTACAAACATTTAACTTTCTTCCATTTTCTTCCTTTTTTATTATTATTTTTTGAGACAGAGTCTTGTTCTGTTGCCCAGGCTGGAATGCAGTGGCACAGTCTCAGCTCACTGCAACCTCTGCCTCCCGGGTTCAAATGGTTCTCCTGCTTCAGTCTCCCAAGTAGCTGGGACTACAGGTGCATACCACCACATCTGGCTAATTTTTTCATATTTTTAGTAGAGACAGGGTTTCACTATGTTGGTCAGGCTGGTCTCAAACTCCTGACCTCGTGATCCACCTGCCTCAGCCTCCCAAAGTGCTGGGATTATAGGCGTGAGCCACCGTGCCTGGCTTAACCACTCAACTTTCAAATAGCATCACGGACTCAAGAGCAATCCTCCTCCAAGCTTGGCCTTCTCATTCCCAATTCCTTCCACCCCAGGTCAGGAACTTGGTGTTCAGAGTCCCTTAACCAAGAAATCAGAGTCATTTCTCACAACCACACATATTGTTTGAATCCAAATAGCACCTGTAACCTGGTCTTCCAAAAATGTTTTGAGGTGTAAAGGTTTAAGGTCATAAGAGAATTAAAATACGGTGCTTTCTTCCACCATTAACTGTTTGCCAAGCCATGTCTTCATGGATGCAATTATTGCAAATATCAGATTAGTGAGGACTGAGCTGCTGGATGTTACTGCATGTCATTGTACTGCAAAATGTCTGGGGTCTTCTTTACTTAAATCCCTACCCAGAATCAACATGAGGGGCATTCTTGTGGGCTCCTCCAGTTTACTGTTTATTTTTAACATGAAAGCAAGTTTACTAAGAAAGTAAGCCAGGCTCAGTGGCTCACACCTGTAATCCCAGCACTTTGGGAGGCCAACGCGGGTGGATCATGAGGTTAGGAGATCGAGACCAGCCTGGTCAACATGGTGAAACCCCATCTCTACTAAAAATATAAAAATTAGCTGGGTGTGATGGTGGGCACCTGTAGTCTCAGCTACTGGAGAGGCTGAGGCAGGAGAATCGCTTGAACCCAGTTGCAGTGAGCCGAGATTGCACCATTGCACTCCAGCCTGGGCGACAGAGCAAGACTCTGTCTCAAAAAAAAAAAAAAGTAAGTAAAGGATAAAAAAAATGGCTACTCCATAGGCAGAGCAGCCAGCTCCTCCAGTTTAAAAGCTCAAGTCAAAACCTGTGTTTGTCCTTTCAGGAGACCTGAAGACTGTGTCCACAAAGGGCAAGACCAGCACTGCAGGTGGGTGAGAACAGCGAACCATGCAGTAACAGGATCCGTTGGGGCTGCTTATGGCTAATGCACCAGATGATGGTCCATTGCCTGGAAGCAGTGCACAGAAGTCACCAGACTCTAAAGAGTTTCCCTAATGGCTCAGAAGGGAGCAGGGTGGGGGGCAGGGGAGTGGCAGGCTGTGGGTCAGAGGTGACTGCAGAAGGAGTTTAGCTCAGGGGATGGAGCTAACAAGCCCCCCCCACCAATTAACACTTGCTAATTAGTTAATTAGTTTGTCCCCCCAACACAGGACGACTGACTGTGTCTTTACACAGCAGTTCAAGATGAGACTAAGCCTTGCATGCCTCCAGCCCCTCAGGCTTTCCTCATTTCCTCCCACTGCCTTGTTGATAAAAGCAGGTCCTTACCACCCCATTTTAGAGAACTAAAAACACTTTTCATTATAAAAAATTGTTTTAATTCATTGGGGATCCATGAAGTGCTGAGTGTAATTCTAGGTACCGTGAGCATTGCAAAGAAAGCACTATGTGAACTGAGGCATGGAGATGGGAATGCTTTAGGTTTGGGCCCAATCAGATGCAGATCAATGCCATATTCATAATAAAGATGTTAAGATGTTTAAGCCTCAAGTGCTGTGCTGCTGACTCCTCTGCTAACTATTTTACATGCCATGTCTCATTTCATTCAACAACCTTCCAGGAAGTAGGCAGTCTTTTAACCCCATGTTATAAAAAAGGAAACAAAGGTGAAGTGACCTTCTCAGGGTCATACAGCTGGAGTCCAGGATTGCCAGACTTCTGGTCAGCACCAGCCAGGCCCTGTGCTCAGTCCAGGAGCCAGCTCTGTCCTGCGTGGAACAGCACAGGAACTTGAAAGCCCCCAGCACAGTCACTCAGGCCAGAAAGTCACCAAAAGTCAGAGAATCTGGATGGAAAAGGCAGGAGCTACCTGCATTTGCTTCATTTTCCCTGTCCTTCCACAGATATCCACAGCTATGGCAGCGGTGGTGGTGGTGGCCACGGAGGAGGTGGCGGTGTTGGTGGCGCTGGTGGCGGCCCGTGGGGAGCGGCGCCAGCCTGGTGCCCCTGCAGCTCCTGCTGTAGCTGGTGGAAGTGGCTCCTGGGCCTGCTGCTCACCTGGCTGCTGCTCCTGGGGCTGCTCTTCGGCCTCATTGCTCTGGGTATGTGGCGAAGGCAGCAGGACAGCCTGTGTGGTAAGAGGCAGGCTGGCCACACTGCCTGTCAGAAGGGCAGGAATCTGTGAGTGGGCCCAGGTGTTGGGGGTGAGGGGACCTGAACACATTGGTGTAGACCCTTGTTACCACAGATGAGGAAACTGAGGCCCCCGGAGGTACCTGGCCAAGGGCACACTTCTCCACACTTGGATGGAGCGCCTGATGCCCAGACCCACCCTCACTGTGCCTGTAGGCCCCGCTCTAAGCACCTGGCTGCCCTTAGTAACAATGTCAGGACTTTCTTAGCTTTTTTGCCTTTTGCTGTTTCCAAGCAGCCCTATCTAGTTCTATCAGCTCTCACACCACCTTCCAGGGAGAGTGAGGACAAGCTTTGTCACACAGCTTAGATGAGAAGACTGATTCCCAGGCCAGGTTTCTTTAAGGCTCTGCTGTGATGGTGAGCAGCTAATCCTGCTAGTGGCCATGGCAGTTCATCTCTGCATGAGTATTCCCGTGTGAAGAAGCCACCACAGGCTTCTGTGCCCTGTGTCAGGCTCCCTACGAGGAGCAAGTTATGTAGAAGGTGAAGGATGGGACCCTCAGTGACTCAGTCTGTGTCCATTTGTTGCAGCGGAGGAGGTGAGAAGGCTGAAAGCCCGTGTGGACGATCTGGAGAGGATCAGGAGCAGCAAGCTGTCCTACGTGGATAAGCTGGTGAGAGACAGCAAGGACGGCCTCCAGGGCATAGCACCTGCAGTAGGAGCAGATCTGGACAAAATTGGGCTGGACAGCGAAAGCCAGGAGGTGCTCTGGTTGTTCGTGAGGAAAAAACTGATGGCAGAACAGGAAAATGGTGAGAGCATCGCCGGACACAGAGCAGCTCCCCTGAGTCCCTTTCTCTTTTGCCTCTGTGTGACATGTGTGCATATGCTATGGGCACCATCATCCAGCCCACTCTCAGCCTCTCTCCTCCTGTGATCCTCTCAATAGCCCTGAGAGGTAGGTGGGACCAAGACTGTGGTCCCACTTTACTCCCGGGAAAACAGTTCTGGAAAAAAGAATTGCCCAAGATCACTGGACTAGCAAAATTTAGACTCTGATCTCTAGTCTTCGCCTCAGTTTCTTCCTCCCATACCATGATCCCCTTATTGTGTGTGTGTGAGGGACATGAGATGTGAAGCTGACTCAGGATTTCCTTTCTCTTGCAGGAAATCTCCGAGGAAGCCCTGGCCCTAAAGGTATTGCCGTGGATTGAGCCTTGTCCCTGCCTTCATTTTCTGCAGTTGGAAGCGAGTTTTCTGGGTGGATTAAAAACCTTTTTCTTTTTTCTAAATGGAAGATGAATAGCTGAATGATCTTATGGTATCTGTTGGGAGGACTGAGAATTGGTTTTAGAGTCAGGTCTTAGATAAGGCAGCATCTAAGAAAAGCCCAGCAACGAGCCCAAGTGACATAGACAGACTGGGAGGGACTCACACTGCACATTGCCTCACCTTGAAATACAGTTTAAGTCTTGTCAAATGGTTTTAAAATACAAGGCAGAATATGGCATTTGGGTTCTTGCCCCATCTCACAGTTTTCATATCTTTCTGTTTTCAGGTGACATGGGAAGCCAAGGCCCTAAAGGTAATTATAACATGGACATTTTTACCTTAAATATAAGCAAGCATAATTGCTTCAAACAATCAGCAAGTTTCAGAAAACCCACCTTGCACTCCAAGAAGTAATTTGACAACAGTTGGGACAGGCCTGTGGGGAGGACTGGGAAGGTCCCAGTCCAAGGGACCTTTGGCTGAACACAGAGCAGCTCTCCTTGGTCCAGCTGAACTGGGGTTGGCGAGCTTCCATGTGCACAGGAATCTCCAAAAGAGTCTGGGCGCCATTCTCGGAGCCTCTGACTCAGAAGGTGTGGATGTGGGCCGGAGTCTCTTACCTTAGTCATCCTCAGTTATTCTGCAGCTAGAAGAATACTAAGTACCAAATTCAAGATGACAGAATTCCCCCACTTCTGCAGCCCCCTCTCACTTCCTAGGTGACCCTGGGCAGGAAGTCAGCTCCTTCACTTTGGGGCCCTCCGAGTCTCTTCTTTCCATTCAGATCCTTGCCACCCACACCCTTGCATATACCTGGGTCATTGTCCCAGCCCTCCTTCCCCAAGGCTGTAGTCTGCACACCCCTCCTGACCATGATGGGGATGGGGACTGATGCTGCCAGAGTGCCTGAACCTGCAGTTGTCAGGTAAAATACAGGACTCCCAGTTAACTTTGCAGATAAACAACAAACAATTTTTCACTATGACTTGTCCCAAATATTTCATGGGACACACTTACAACTAAAAATATGTGTTGTTTGGTAACTGGACATTTGCATTTTTCTTTGCTAAGTTTGGCAACCCTACCCGAATCCCACTAGTGACTTCTTTGGGGAATTGGGAATAGTCCTCTGGCTGACCTCTCTCTTTTGCCTTTGTTCCTGCAGGAGATAGAGGGTTCCCTGGCCCTCCAGGTACGTACTCTCTGATGATCTCCAGGGCTGCTGGTGTTGCAGCTGCTCAGTCCTAGCTAATGGCTTCTGGGAGGAAAACAGGGACTGAGATACCCTTATGTATCCACAGGTAGCCCTGGGCTCTTGGGCAACCCAGGTCCAGAAGGTCCAAAGGGTCAAAAAGGCAGCGTGGGTAAGAACACTGTTTTCTTTACTCATTTATTCCTCATTCTTTCATTCATTTAGTAAACATTCATTAAGTGCCTGCTGTATGCAAGGCCTTGCTTTAGGCTCTGGAGAGACATCAGTGAAGCAAACAGAGAAACCTGCTGTTGTGGATCTGACATTTGGGCTGGGGAGAAAGACAATAACTGTGATAAATAGTGAAGTCTATAGCAGGTTAGGGGGTGATGCATGACATGGGAAAGACAGAACCTGGGGGGACTTTGGGAGTAAGAGCTGGGGAGCGTAATTTTACACAGGGAAGCCAAGGAAGGCCTCCCCAAGAGGTCGCTATTTGAGCAAAAATTTGAAGGGCAAGAAGGAGCCAGGCAGGAGAGATCTAGGGAAAACATTCTAGGTAGAGGGAGAAGCCAAGGCCAAGGCCCCAGGGCAATTTTTAAGGAGCAGCAGGAAGGTGGAGACCTCTGAGCTGGAAAGTCTAAAGGGATGGGCGGAGAGGAGGCGGGCTGTGTGGGGCCTCACAGGACAGTGTAAGGACTTTGGCTTTAACTCTGGGAGAAATAAGGAGACCAGGGAAGGGCTCCAGGCAAGGTTTGCCATGGGAGGCTGCCTGCGTAGCCCTTAGCTGAGACACAGGATCATAACTCGGAGGCTGGCCATCCCTGTTTTTAGGAGATCCCGGCATGGAAGGCCCCATGGGCCAGAGAGGGCGAGAAGGCCCCATGGGACCTCGTGGTGAGCCAGGGCCTCCTGGGTTTGGAGAGAAAGGGGAAAGAGGTAAGAGGCAATTCCTTCACCGGCAGAGTCAGCTACGCCTGTGCTTCCTTCTGTCAACACCCATCCCTCCTTCATTCCATCTCTCTCTCTCCCTCCTTCTTTCATTTGCTGAGCATCCACCCTAAGTCAGGGTCTGTGCTAGGCCCTGCTGAGACAGCAGGCTAATGCTGGGCCTGGGCTGGGTTGTGGGGCCAGGCCTAGGGCTGAGGACTCATCTGCCACACCTGGAATCCACAGAGAAAGTGGCCACAGGAGCAGCGGCCTTCCTGGAGTTGGGTGGTGAGGAGAGTGAGGAGTTAGGCCAAGGTGGGGCTCAGGGGGCAGGGGCAGGACTGAGCAGAGTTCACTGTGAGACAGAGTGGGGCACAGCCTTTGAGCCTCTCCTGGCTGGAAGGAGGCCAAGAGGGAGGTGGGAAAGGCCCCAAACATAGGTCCAGTGCTAGAGGGGCTGGGGAAGGTGTTGCAATTTCATCCTTAACTATGAGACTGCTTTCATCAGGGGAAACCAAGGCAGATATTAGAAACCCTCTTAATGCTAACAGACTGTGAGCAGGAAGCTTTATTTTTAGTTTTACTTTCTCTTTAAAATACTGCTTAACCAGATAATAAAATGTATTGAGTGCCTACTAGGTGCCAGACTTCATAGACTATAAAGTCTCTGGGGGTAGAAACTGAAGGAGTTTTGCTGCTAAGTGGCCTTACTGGGGCACCAAATGGATCCAAGACCACTAGCAGGGTGAGAAGCATCCCCTCCAAATGACAGTGCCAGGATAGGGGGGCCGTCACACTGGAGCCTTTCCCGAAGTACTCATCCCTCCATTTCTCCACAGGGGCTGCTGGTGAACCAGGTCCTCACGGCCCACCTGGTGTCCCAGGTTCTGTGGGTCCCAAAGGTAAGTCCAGTGTGCAGGAAGGAATCAGTTTGCCAGAGGGAAAGCCACATTCTGGATGGATCACAGAGAAGCAGGCCCTGGGACCCCAGACAGCCCTAATCCCCCTGCCCCAGGCCTGTGCAGGAGTGGTAGGTGGGTCTAAAGAACATCCCCCAACAAAGCAGTCCCTGGGGAGTCAAGATCGGGGCTATAAGTTTAGCCCCATAACAGGCTTGGGGCTATGTTTCCATCTGTCTTCAATGGCCCTGTTATGTGATCCCTAAGCGGGTAGATGGATCATTCAGGAAATCAGAAGTTAGACCATTTCCTTGACTGACTATGGCCTAGATGCACACATCAAAAGTAACATGTCTGGACAACCCAGGGAGAATGGGCCCCTTCTCAAAGCCCAAATGTTCTATGGCCTCAGCCCAAATGTTCTACTCTGACCAGGAAAGAGCAAGGATCATTAGATCCCACCCAGCTGCAGCCCCCTCCCTAAGGAGGACATGCACTGGGGTCACTCCTGGCCTGCAATGCACACTCACACAGCCCTCATCTGGAATACAGTGTCCCCAACCTCCACCTGCCCTGCTCTGGGGCCAGATATCCCTGCCTGTACCTGCCCCTCTGCTGATCGCTGTCTCGTCCTCCTTCTCAGGTTCCAGCGGCTCTCCTGGCCCACAGGGACCCCCAGGTCAGTGTGCTGCTTCTTGTAAATAGGTTCTGTTTCTGGAGCAAAGGTGGCAATGTTAAAAGGAAAACCAAATATTTTTAATTAAGCAAAAGAAGCAGTTATAAATCTAGCCTCTTAAAGATACAGAATTCAAATCTGCATATGTGTCCCCTCCGGCAGAGGTTGGGCTCCCTGATGGGTCCTGTCCAGATCCCTTCTGACCTGGCTTTGGGCCTGAGACCCTCCAGCAGCTTCAGCAGTGGAAGTCCCCATCCTGCCTTCATCTGAGCAAGCACCTGCCTCGGTCTCGTCCCCTATGGGCCACAGAGCTTGTCCTGCTATCTTGAGAATCTTGAGCTATGGCCAGTGCCTCTGTCAAGGCTCTACAGTGTGTTCCAATGCCTGTTCATCATCAGGGGCAAGGAACCTGGGCCAAAATGACTTAGCAAGGACTTGGGAAGGAGTCCATGGGAAGCATCCTTTGACTTTCACTTTAGGGTGTGTGCACATGTGTGCCTGTATGTGCATGTGTGTGTATACATGTCTAATCATTCCAAAGCTAGGGATACTCATCTGTGTGTATGGTTTCTTCTGCCGGGCAGGTCCTGTAGGTCTCCAAGGGCTCCAAGGTGAAGTGGGACTTCCTGGTATCAAAGGTAAGCTGAAGGGAGATCTGGAAGGGACAGTGAGGATCTGATGGACACAGCCCACAGCCTATGCAGGCCGACAAGTGTCAGAGGGGAAGGCAAAGTCAAGATTGGGGGAGCCCGTCTTCAGAGACAGATATTGCCTCTTCCTGGTTGTCCCCTGCAGGGCATTTTATGCCAAGGTGTCCATTTCCTTTTAGGTGACAAAGGACCGATGGGACCACCAGGACCTAAAGGTACGTCACTCACTGCTGCTTGGTCATTACTAGGGCCTGCCTTACTCCTAGAAGCTCAGATGGGACCCTTACTGCAGGGTCAGAGGGTGCACAGGACCTTGGCTTCAGACCCTGGAATGAGAGGGATCCAATATCTCATTCTAATTCAACCTCTCAGATAGGGAAACTGAGGCACAAAGAGGGGAAACCAAGCACTAACATCACATTAAGTTCTGAGGTGGTGAGTGACTCTCAAGGTGGTAAGCATATAGCATTCCAAGGCATCTGTCCTCTTGTGTCCATAGCACCGATTTGCAATATCAGGGGCTGGGGGCTCAGTTTGTGGGTGGGTCCTGACTCTGCCAAAGATCAGATGTGCTCCTTCGGCTGCTTTAAGGCTGCATTAATGCTGTGTCCTCACCAACATCCGCTGTCAGGAGTTCACAGATACAGTGAGGACTATCCTGCAGCTGGGGACCCCGTTATTGGGTGAAATTGTTTTCTTTGCTCACAACAGTGGTTTTTGCCCCTCCCCCTTGTTTATTTAGGTGACCAGGGTGAGAAAGGACCTCGAGGTCTCACAGGTCAGTCTGTCATGAAAATCTACTTTAATCCGTCCGTGACTTTTGCAAATCCATCAGTCACTAGGTTGGAAAAAATCCAGAAGTGTGAGACAAAATCTGTTTAAAACCCTTCAGGGAACTTGTAATCTAGAAAAAAAAAAAAAAAAAAAAAAAAAACAAGACAAGAGAAAATAAAGCCTGGAATGGAGGACAAGGAGGTATCCAAATGTATAGTCCAAACAATAAATGTTTGGAGCCAAAAAAGAAAATATAGAGTTGTCTCTGATTCTTTTGGGGAACACAGCTGAGGAAATTAAGCTCTTCCCAAAGCAGCAGGAAGTTTGCACCACTAGTATCCTCTCAACCACTGACCTCCTGCCTACTGGCAGGATTAAAAAGGAAATTGATAATAATAAGGCTGTGACTCAAAGCGTGGTTTTCAGTTTTCAAGGAAATACTCATGCGCATGCCCATGGTTCTGATTAGGTGTGGTTTCTGGGTTAGCCCATGCCACTGCCCAGGGGAGCCAAGCGGCCCTGACCTTGGAAGCAAAGCAAAAGCTGCCTCCTTGACCTCTTCTTGCTAAGGAGGGGCAGGGCTTGGATAGGGGGAAGGTAAAGGAGGGAGCAGACTACCATTGTAGAAACATACACAGCTTGCAAGTGTCCAACCAACTAGTTCTTTGTCCTTTGCAGGCGAGCCTGGCATGAGAGGTTTGCCTGGTGCTGTTGGTGAGCCCGGAGCTAAAGGGGCAATGGGTAAGTGTCCCAAAGGAATGGATGCAGTGAGTTCCCCATTTGAGGGGTCACTACAACCCTGATGAAATCCGTCTTCTAGAGCTGCCTCTCCTGCTCTCTAATCTGCTCACCCCTGGTTGAGTCTCCCTTGACCAGTCCTTTCTGTGTCTGGGCATCCTTTCTGGTGCTCAGAGAGCTGCAGGTACCTCTGTGGGTTTCCTTCCTCTTTGGGAGAGGCCTTGGAGGGCATGACCCATTCACCTAAGAGCTGGCTGTGAGCTCCCCACTCCCTGGGGAAGACAGTGTTGAAGTCCTTAGGAACTTCAAGTGTTCCAGGAATCCCAGGGCTAGTCTCATGGCCAAATCCAGACTTTAACCCTTTTGCTGACCTTTACTGAGGTGCCTGTCAGCCTGGCTGCAGAAACTGACCAAGAATCTCAGAGGTAGCTGGTTGCAGTGATTCACACCTGAAATCCCAGGGACTCAGGAGGATCACTTGAACCCAGGAGTTGGAGGCTGCAGTGAGCTATGATTATACCACTGCACTATAGTCTGTGTGACAGAACAAGAATCCATTTCTCAAAAAAAAAAAAAAAAAAAAGGAAAGCCAGTGTTGAGTATCAAACTCGAGAAGGGTTTAAGCCCCACCTGTAGAGATGTAGCATCTTCACTCTCGTTCACTTACCCAGCTGTTAGTGCTGACACCATGCTAGGCAAGTAAGATGCTTTACATGCCTCAAGGGGAGATAAGGCTTACATGAGGTGACAAGTGTCATACAAGGTACAGAGCACTGTGAGGATACAGTCAAAGGAGAAATTTCTTCCAACAGGAATGATGGAGGAAGGGGCATTATAGGTGGTTCCAACAAGTTAGAAAGATGTTAATCATGACCAGTTTGGAAAATTCCATGCAGGGATGATGGCACAAGCAGGGAAAGACAAAGAAATGGGAAAGAGCAAGACATGGTCCCAGAAGGCCACTGTTTCGGATAGAGGTTACAATAACACCTAGAGCAGAGGAGACAAGGATATGGAGGACCTTGACTTCCAGGCCTTCAAGTAAATGCAACAAGCAGTGAGCATAGAGGCTCAATGTCATGAAAATCTACTTTAATCCATCCATGACTTTGAGGTGCAATGGGGAGGCACTGAACAATTCTCAACAGGAAAAGAGACTATTGCTGGTTTAGGAGAAGAGGCAGGGAGAGTACTGTATCCAGAGAGTGTGACAGACAGGGCTGTCCCATGACTAATGGCTATGTGGATTCCTGGGAGACAATGGGCTTCAAGGCCACTGGAGCAGGAGAGGGAGGAATCACAGAAGTCACTCCAGGAGCAACTGACAGACCTTGCTTCTACTTTACCAGGTCCTGCTGGCCCAGATGGACACCAAGGCCCAAGAGGTTGGTCACTGATCTGCTGCCTCCAGCCTCACTCCCATCACAGCCCATGTCCCAGCATGCAGCTCCCAGTCCCCTTAACTATAGTGCCAGAGGAGCGTATGGCATGGCATGTACAAATGTGCAGTGTGCAGTTCTGTTCCCCTTCTCCTTTCTACCTGCCAGCAAGTCAATTAGGAAAACCCTATTAGCTCAGATGTGATGACCAGTTTAGTCTTCCTAAAAGTAAACCGTTCCACGTTGGCCATTCTCTAGGTGAACAAGGTCTTACAGGGATGCCTGGAATCCGTGGCCCACCAGGACCTTCTGGAGACCCAGGAAAGCCAGGTAACAGAGCAGGAAGAGGGGCCATGGCCCTGCTTAATGTGTGTGTGCTTTGCGTGTGTGGGTGTAGGCATGTGTGTGTGTTTGTGTGTGCATGCACAGGTGTGTGGGTTGTGGGGGACAGGGTATATGTGCATGGTGTGTGTGTGCATGCATGTTTGCACAAATGCACCTGTGTGTGCCTTATCCCATTTTCCTCCAGCAGCTCAGCAGGGAACTGCCATAGTGTTAGGTGGTTTTGTGTGCAGTGGCTATAGGCCCTGGTACCTCTGTTAACTAAGACTGGCAATTCAGAAGAGTGAGATTAACAGCTGAATACAAGGAGTTCTAGCAAGGGGGAAGGACACTCTTAAAATTGCAGACTTGAAGGTCACCTCACTATCTTGCTCCTCTGAGCCCTTCCCCTGTTGTCCTTCTCTCCTGGGGCTGTACCTGGACCCCCACCAACACCCACCAGGCTAAGGAGAAAGCCATTGTTAGAGTCTCCACCTAGAGCAAAGAGCAAATTCTCAGGGCTGCAGGAAGAACAAATGAAAACCAGCTAAGAAAGCTGTGTGGTCAAGGTGGGTGGGCATTCATCGGGGCTTCTGAGAGTAGGGGCCCCCTCAGCCTCCTTTGGTGGGTGCCCAGACAGGAGACATAGAAAGGGAGCCTGGGGCAGCATTAGGGTCCATGAGTGTTGAGCATTCTGGGCTCATGGCTCAGAATGGGTTTGTGAACCTCAGATTCCGAAAAGGTTTGTGAACCCAAAAGGCTCAGAACCATTGCCTGAGAAAGCAGTGGGTCGTTTCACTGCAAAGCCAAAAGCCCACTGCTCTCCATTCAGAGCTGAGAGGGCCATGGAGGCTGGCTGCCCCGGCATGAGGCATGTCCTCCTGTACCCACTGACCCCTCCACTGCAATGTCCACCGGTTTCTGCCGGCATGGGTGTGGCTACCAGGGCCGGCCTCAACCCTTCAACTTTTCCCCACCTGTGTCTGATTTTCTGCAGGTCTCACAGGACCCCAGGGACCTCAGGGTAAGTCACTGAATCACTCCCACCTGCTGCCTGTCACCTGCTCCTGGGGTAGCTGCTTGGGCCAGGGTTTTCCTGAAGTCACCAGTTTTCTCTCCTCTGCCAACTCCCTGGCATACACTCCCTTCACTGTGAGCCTTGAGAAGCACCTTAGGAAGGAAAAATAGGCACAGAACAATCTAGAACACCATTCTAGTAAAAATGAGATTAGATTGTGTGCCAATTTTGTCTGCCTATGCCCTGTTCCCCTCGGGTATAGGAATCTGAGAGGAACCCCAAGCCCATAGCAAAGCTCCCGCTAGAGGCCCAAGTTACCCCACTGGCCTGGCAGGGCATGGGTGCTCAGCCTTGTTCAGGAAAGCCCAGTTTCTCTGGAACAGCCTCAGTGTTAAAGCCTGTCCTCTAGTTGGATCATTATGCCCCCATAATGGACAAGCTCACTACACCTATCCCCTAATTTCCTGAAAGAAATTAGGCAAAGATTGGAAATGAAATCAGGCAGCAGGCCCCCCAGTGGTTGAATGCACAGGGACATGCTTCTGATGCCCTCACAGAGGAGTTCAGTGGCTGAAGGCAAGAGGGTATGGCTGCATTGGACACAGGAAGCCCAGCACCTCTCCTGCAGGGGAGAAGGGAGACAGGGGCCGCTCTGCAGGCTCCAGGTGGCTCATAACCCTGAGGGATGGAACCCCCCAAAGCTGAGCCCATGGGCCTCTGCCCACTTCAAGCCAAGCTGTTGCCCCATTTCCCAAAGAGGGACAAGGGCTTAGAACAAGAGGCTCCCCAGGGGTGACTGTCTAGACTAAAGCAGACGGCAAAGCTGGTGGGTTTTAGGGTTTCGATCAGCAGTGTGGCTGTCCTGAGTGACAGTGCACTAGTTACTACCCGAGGGTGTCTGGAATTGCTGGGCCTTCATCATCCTGACTGACTTGTTCTAATCACATCAGGACTTCCTGGTACCCCCGGTCAACCAGGAACAAAAGGTAAGTGAATTTCCAAATGAGATATTCTTTCTTTTCACTGGCCATTTTTATAAAGGAAGGGATGGACTGGAGGGAGGTCTTTCTTTGGCCAGAGCCTGGATCAACAGTGGCATCTAGTGGTTCTGGCAGAGGGCTGTGAGGCTGGGAGCCCAGGGATTTGTGAACAGAGCCCTGAGTCCTCAAGCCCCACCTCTCCCCAAACACCCACCCCACAAACCTGAGCGTTGCTTTCATACTTGGATGTCTCCAGGCCATTGTTGCAGGAGGTTCTGGAAAGGCACTGCTCCCCCCACCCCCACAAAGCCTTTCTATGCACTGTTTTACCTCTAAATACCCCCATTAGTGCTTCATCCCCGTAGCATGTAGGCTTGGTCCCCTCCTAACAAATCTCTTCCCCTGGGGCAGGAACCACCTTTGCCCTTACCATTCACATCAGCCTTGGTGTGAATGGCTACACCAGGCCCTTCCCAAGTGGTGGCTTTAGTACAGGCACAGAGTGTTCAAATGCTACTGAGAGGGCAAGTCAGGGTACTCAGAGGGAGCCCATCCTCAGGGGTCTGACTAGGGCAATGTGGTGATGCCTGTGCTCACAATGACCCTCTTATCCAGTTCTGCCTATCAGCCCCCAACCCTGAGCAAGTTCAGGGATCCAGTCTCAGGGATGGTCTTTCTCTTTCTGTTCCTATGATCCCACCATGCTCCTGAACTTTAACATTCTATGAGCTGTGCTCTGTCACGGCAGTCACTGTCACTCTTGGTAGGACCCTAAAATAACCACTTTCCATAAATGATTTCCAATGACTGGTTGGGCCAAGGAGTTCTTTAGGGCTAAGTAAATATAATTCCAAAATAATGATAGCTGAGTTGATATGTCCCAGGCAGACTGCACTAGGTCCATGGATCTGTTCATGAATGGATGGTACCTTTTGTAAGAGTCTCATAGGTTTTGGAATTTCCTAGGATAACAGAAACCCTCTGTTTTTGAGGGCCTGTGACTTCCTATCCAAGGGGGAGTTCAGACCCTGCCTGGACAACATGCACAAGAGGGGTCATTTTACCTAATGTTGAATTGCATCCCAACAAAACAGACTCAAGTGCTTTCTCCTCTCTGTTCATGAGCCCTGGCTGAAGGATGGTGAGCAGAGACCATCCCTCTGCTTTCCCTTAGGGAGACAGCAATATTCTCCTTTCATGTGTGAATGACTGAATTGCTCACTGAACTTGGGGAAAAGAGGGCCCCTAAAGAATGGTTTCCCCAAGCAAGTTCATGGATTGCCAGTTCTCAGCACTGTATCCGCTCGATAGGTTTGGAAATGTCCTCTTCTGGAAAGGCCTCCACACACTTTCATTTTTAATGCTCTGAGACACAAAGCAGAAAAGAGATCTTGTTAACCTTTATATAACTCAGAGCTTCTCAGACTTAACGCACTGCAGAGCCCTCTTTTTAATCCTGCGCAGCCCCTGCAACTGTCCCACAGAGCACTCTGGGAATCCCGCTTTACCTGGGGCGGGGGAGTCAGGCTCATTGCCTCTGTCCTTTGACCTTTGAGTAATTTTCCCACCTAAGACAATTCCCAGGCGGAGGTGATGGAATGTGGGAGTGTGAAGGACTTTCCAGTCAGCCTCATTCTGGGCTCGCTGAAAGGCAAGCTTTCCACATCCTCAAGTGAAGCCACTTCTCTGAATGAAGATGGATGCTCTGGCCTCTGGGGGCTACAGCTGAGCGATTAGGCTTAATGCATCCTGCATGCTTCCCTTCAGTTCATTAAAATGCCTTTAGTCTGAGGGTGAGAGGCCCAGAAGTGGGTCCCAAATGCAATCAGAAGCCTTGAAAATGGCTTATTGAGCCATTAATTGATCCTCAGAACAACCACTCTCAGCCTCTTCCTCCCTTCCCAGGTGAACCAGGAGCTCCAGGCAAGATTGTGACTTCAGGTAGGCAGGTCCTAGAGGGACCCTCCTTCCTGTCTTTCTTATGCTGGGCACCTACCTTGGCTCTGCGGTGCTCTGGGCAGGATGTGGCAGGGAGCTTTCTGGATCAGTAGAGGGGGAAGGAGGGAAATTCAGCAGTGATGAGAAGAAGAAACGCCAGCCTGCCCACCACAGCCCGGCTCGGGTCCCAGGGCCTCTGAGTGAGAAGGGTAGGGCTCAAGGTTTCATGTGTCTTCTGTTTTCAGAGGGGTCATCGACGCTCACTGTCCCAGGCCCCCCAGGACCTCCTGGAGCCATGGGACCCCCAGGACCTCCAGGTGCCCCAGGTCAGTCTGTTTTCTTGCTTGCCCCAGATCAGCAGTAGGTCTTGGAGGTAGTGATTCCAGCCATATTTGTTCGGATCCTGAAACCCAGGGCAGGAGCGGAACCTGGTAAAGAGAATAAGGAGCTTGACCTGAGAAAGGTAAACTCTTGCATTCTCAGACAATGAGGTAGATCAGTTATCCTACTTCACAGCATAGGAGGCTGATGTGCAATCAGCATTTACAGAAGGGGAAGCCGAGGCTTGGAACAGGTAACTGACTTGCCCAAGTTCCCATGGCCCATAAGCAGCAGGACAAAGGATTTGGCCCAGATCGTTCTACCTCCAGAGCCTGTGGCTGGTTAGAACACCCAGCCCCTGAGCCCTTTGTTTCCTCCTGGAAAACAACTTGACATCCTGCATCCAGGGCAACAAAAATGCCAGGTATCTATTTGAAGAAAATATCCCCAAGTGGGATGGTGACAAAAACACTTCCGAACAAAGTTGTTATAAGATAAAACGTTTATTGAAAGAGCAGGACATTCAATAATGCCTGCTCTGTGGTTGCAACTGTATTTTTATAAGATGCAAAAAAGAAAAAATGCTAGAAGAAAATAAAATGCCCACTAATTGAAGAGTTGTTTCCTACCTTTCCAAAGTGCCTGTTGTTTTCTTATACATATTTTAAATTATTTTACATTTTTATGTGCAAATGAAATACACAACTTATCACAACAAATGCCAGAATGTACCAGCCTTTCCTCCTGACAAGCTCCAGTGAGAAGGAGGGCATGGGGGCATATAGAAGTCCCTAACCATTAAAGGACAGCAGCAGGGAGGGCAGTCCCGCCTGCCCTGGGGTCCTGGTACCTGTCAGAGATGTTCTCACACAGCTGGACCACAGGGCTGGTCTCAAATTGCTTATTGCTCTCAAACAAGGTGGACTCTTTGGGTCTCTGTTCCATGCCTTGGGAAGAATTATGCCAGGTGACTGCCCTTCCTTCAGTTCTTCCTATGACCCTACAGGCATGATTTAGCCTTTTCTTCCCCAACCCCATTTCCAGGCCCTGCCGGCCCAGCTGGTCTCCCAGGACAGCAAGGTAAGTCATGCCCTGCAAGAACGCAGGGCGATGGCCCCAGTCGGAGGACTTCCTCTCAGGGTGGACATGGGCCCCTCTGTTCTAGACGAGGCGTGTTTGGGAAAAGGAGAAGCGGGCCAGGGCTCTTCACTGGGGCCTTGCAAGGCCTCAGCTGCCAGGGAAGACACCTCTTCTCACCCACTTCCATGTTTCTGAGAAGGTGGGGTTCTTGGAAAGGGGATTGAGGCTCCGTGGGCCCCTGGTCAGGGTAAAGTTTGGCTATTTTTACAGACCTCAGGCCTCTTGTAACCAGACCCTGATAATCATACCACTGTCCAGTGATATGTCTCGATAGAGTCAGGGTTAGGAAAAGCTGGTTCAGGTTGTCCTGGGTGTTCTGGCCACTGAAGTCAGCAACCCAACCCTGCCCTGCTCTCTACCAGGCCCCAGCCCCTCTGCTAGGCCCTGCCTGACACCTGGGCTCACTCCCAAGGGAAAGCAGGTGCTGGTCTGCAGGCAGCACCCACCCCAACTCTTATGTCCTCCCATGGCCCTGCCTCATAGCTCTCTGCCTTTTTCCCGCAGGTCCCCAAGGCCCCAGAGGACACCAAGGTACAGTAGAGCTGGCATTAAATGACACCTGGGGTGGGGGGAGGGGTGGCAAAGCTCACCTTCCAAGAGCTTTGAGCTTGTTAGAAAGGCACTTGGTACAAATAAGCAAGAGTAGAGCAAAGTGTCTCTAGGAATGGTTGAGTATGTGCAGGGGTGTAATGCAAGTGTCAGTGTGTGTGCAGGGGTGTAATGCAAGTGTCAGTGTGTGTGCAGGGGTGTAATGCAAGTGTGTCAGTGTGTGTGCAGGGGTGTAATGCAAGTGTCAGTGTGTGTGCAGGGGTGTAATGCAAGTGTGTGTGTGTGCAGAGGTTTAAAGCAAGTGTGTATGTGCAGGGGTGTAAAGCAAGTGTGTGCAGGGGTGTAATGCAAGTGTGTGTGTGTGTGGGTGTAATGCAAGTGTATGTGTGTGTGTGCAGGGGTGTAATGCAAGTGTATGTGTGTGTGTGCGGGGGTGTAATGCAAGTGTATATGTGTGTGCGGGGGTGTAATGCAAATGTCAGTGTGTGTGCAGGGGTGTAATGCAAGTGTGTGTGTGTGCAGGGGGTAATGCAAGTGTGTGTGCAGAGGTTTAAAGCAAGTGTGTATGTGCAGGGGTGTAAAGCAAGTGTGTGCAGGGGTGTAATGCAAGTGTGTGTGTGCGGGGGTGTAATGCAAGTGTCAGTGTGTGTGCAGGGGTGTAATGCAAGTGTGTGTGTGCGGGGGTGTAATGCAAGTGTCAGTGTGTGTGCAGGGGTGTAATGCAAGTGTGTGTGTGCGGGGGTGTAATGCAAGTGTGCAGGGGTGTAATGCAAGTGTCAGTGTGTGTGCAGGGGTGTAATGCAAGTGTGTGTGCGGGGGTGTAATGCAAGTGTGCAGGGGTGTAATGCAAGTGTCGGTGTGTGTGCGGGGGTGTAATGCAAGTGTGTGTGTGCGGGGGTGTAATGCAAGTGTCAGTGTGTGTGCAGGGGTGTAATGCAAGTGTGTGTGTGCGGGGGTGTAATGCAAGTGTGCAGGGGTGTAATGCAAGTGTCAGTGTGTGTGCAGGGGTGTAATGCAAGTGTGTGTGTGCGGGGGTGTAATGCAAGTGTGCAGGGGTGTAATGCAAGTGTCAGTGTGTGTGCAGGGGTGTAATGCAAGTGTGTGTGTGCGGGGGTGTAATGCAAGTGTGCAGGGGTGTAATGCAAGTGTCAGTGTGTGTGCAGGGGTGTAATGCAAGTGTGTGTGTGCGGGGGTGTAATGCAAGTGTCAGTGTGTGTGCAGGGGTGTAATGCAAGTGTGTGTGTGCGGGGGTGTAATGCAAGTGTGCAGGGGTGTAATGCAAGTGTCAGTGTGTGTGCAGGGGTGTAATGCAAGTGTGTGTGTGCGGGGGGTGTAATGCAAGTGTGCAGGGGTGTAATGCAAGTGTCAGTGTGTGTGCAGGGGTGTAAAGCAAGTGTGCAGGGGTGTAATGCAAGTGTATGTGTGTGCAGGGGTATAATGTGTGTGTGTGCAGAGGTTTAAAGCAAGTGTGTATGTGCAGGGGTGTAATGCAAGTGTGTGTGTGCAGGGGTGTAAAGCAAGTGTGTGCAGGGGTGCAATGCAAGTGTGTGCAGGGGTGTAAAGCAAGTGTGTGTGTGCAGGGGTGTAAAGCAAGTATGTGTGTGTAGGGGTGTAATGCAAGTGTGTGTGTGTGCACGAGTGTAGTACATACGTGCAGGGTGTAATGCAAGTGCATGCATGTGCACATGCAGGCAGGGGTGTAGTGCGAGTGTGTTTGTGGGAAGAGGGGGCAACTCTAGGTACTGCCCAAAGGGCAATGCAGCCCCAGCAATCATGGATTTTGGGGAGTCTCTAAGGGGCTGATAGTTGGTGAGAAAAGTGAGACCGAGTGTCCCTCTCTTGGTGTTTCCTCAGGCGAGCAAGGCCTCCCAGGTGTCTCAACCTCAGGTAAGGACTGAGCCCCTTGCCATTCTGGCTCTATCCAGAGCTTCTGCAAACCCTGGCTGACTACACTGTGTGTGTTGTTGGATTCTAGGGTCTGGTTCTCTCGGACTCAACCTTCAGGGACCACCAGGCCCACCTGGCCCCCAGGGACCCAAAGGTGACAAAGGTCAGTGAGGGAGCAGCCAAGGTGGTGAGGAGTGAGGGTGAGCCTGGTGCCCAGAGCCTGAAAAGATGGCAGCAAGTACTTATCAGTGTGAAGTCTTGGGAGAGAGAAGAGGCTGGAGAAAGGAAAGGCCAGAGGGAGGAAGGTATAAGGCCATGGAGATAAAATTTCTGTCCAAGGGAGCTATAGTATTATTACAAAAATGAGGCCAAGAGATATGGGATGATTGTTGAGCCACACACTAATAATTGTGGCTTGGCTTAACCAGGGAAGGCTTCCTGGGGGAGGTGATGCAAACTTCTCATTTTGGATTCCAGGTGATCCAGGTGTCCCAGGGGCTCCTGGCATTCCTGGTGGTGGTCCTGGAGGTAAGAACTTAAAGTGACCAAAGTTCTTTTCCCCTTCCTTCAGCGAAGGCTGATCATTCCAATGAGGATGTTGCTCTGTTCATTCATTCATTTCTCCGTGATCCATTGTTGATTCTTCTCCATGTGCTAGGACCTATGAGCTGCCTTTAAGGAGGTTACATGATACCTAACAATGCAGACACTGCATGATGGAGAACAGACAGACCCTGGGTGCTGGGGAGTTCAGAGAAGGGGGATGCAATGTGGGGGTTCCTTGAGCAGGCTGCAGAAGGAAAGGGCAGTTTGGCCTGGAGCAGCTCCCTCGCTCTGTGCCCCTTTCAGACAGTGGCTGCTACAGGCTCTTCCTTTCCTCTCTTCTTGGGGACCCTTCTTGCCACTATCCTATTTCTTCCCCTGAGGGAGACCCTCCCTCCTCACACCATCAAAGCTATGCCTGAGTCCCTGTTTGTCTGACCCTAGGGTGGAGGAACCGATGCAGGACACTTTCTCTTTCCTGCAGGGGCATCATCAAGTACCATGTACGTGCCAGGCCCGCCAGGCCCCCCTGGGCCCCCTGGGCTTCCAGGCTCCATCAGCAGCTCTGGCCGGGAGATTCAGCAGTACATCTCTGAGTACATGCAGAGTGAGTGGCTGGCCGCGCCAAGCTGTGGGGACAAGAACATGGAGATACAGTCTCTGTGCAAGGGAGCTGTGGTATCATCACAGAAATGAGGCTAAGAGACATGGGATGATGTAGGGCAACGTGTGTGTGTGTGCACACGCGCACATATTGAGGGAGTCTGTGCTGCCAGGCCCAGGTCCTCCCCCTGTGGAGCCAGGCCTACAGGTCCATGAGTTCCCCAACACCAACCTTCTCATAGCTGCCCCCGACACAACCTCACCCTCGACCACACCCTGGGTAGGAGGCCGAGGCAGGCACTCACCCACATGCACGCATATGCTTTCACACCTCACTCTGCACAGGCTCATTTGTCAAATGGGTGGCTGGCTGGAGTCTTGCTGCCCCACAGCCCTCATGGGCCACCTGACCCAACTCAGGCCTCTGCCTCAGTTTCTCCATCTGTAATTATGGGAAGGACAGTGAGGGGAGCCTAGGCTCCCTCCTGGCCCAGCTTTGGGTCCATGTCTGGGGTGTAGCAGGCATGTTATCATGTGTTTTGGGTCATCTCTGTGGGGAGAACATGTCCTCTTGGGGACAGGCTTGACTTTGCTTTGTTCCTTGGTTGGCAGGTGACAGTATTAGATCTTACCTATCTGGAGTTCAGGGTCCGCCAGGCCCACCTGGTCCCCCAGGACCTGTCACCACCATCACAGGCGAGACTTTCGACTATTCAAGGCTGGCAAGCCAAGTTGTGAGCTACTTACAGAGTAAGCCTTTCCCTGCGCCCTGTACCTGGCACCTTCCTCCTGTGGGTTCGCTTTTGCTCCCAGAGCCTCATCTCCTCCTTTGGTGCTTGCTTTGCCCTTCTCTGGAATATGAGTTTTAATTCCGAATTCACAATAATCGGGCCACTGGAATACAGTGTCAACAAGGGTCTGTTCAGATTCAGGGCAGCCATGTTTGGAGAGCCACTGAGTGAGGCTTCCTGTGGTCAACTAATGTGTTCCTCATCATAGGTTCTTCCCACCTGTGCATGAAGGTTGGCAATCATCTCGCAGGCATTAGGCTAAAGCATGTTCTTGAAAGTAAACTGCATTTCTCACCAAAGGGGGGAAAAAAAACCAAAAACATTTGACCTTGTTATGCTTTCAAAATAGCCTCATAATACCCCATTCATCCATTTCCCACAAAGACAAACAGCTCAGTAACCAGGACTTTTGGATTCTGGAAAAATGAAAGTGTTGCTTCAGTACCTGCTAAGCAGGTAACCTGAGGTTTTCTTCCCGACAGCTTCGGGGTACAGCATCAACTTGTCCCCCTCATCCTCCATCTCTTCTGAAGACATCCTGGCTGTGCTGCAGCGTGAGTCACCTGTGAGGGGACCGAGTGTGGGACCATCTTTGCTTTCTCCTGACCTCACTTGTCAGGCAAATCTTGTCCTCATCTGAGCCTTGGAGGGCTGCAAGAGGGAGGCAATCCTTTGGGACAAAGAGCCACTTACTGCTGTGATCTGCTGGCAGAGTCAGCAAACTGGCTGGAAAGGGGACAGGAAATGTCCTCCCAAACCCCCATGCCAGGCAAGCTGGCAGGTGCCCCTGACCACTGTGGGTCTGAGGACCCAGAACTCACAAATGTCATGCAGGAGCTGGTTTGTGTAGGGGAGCCCAGGCTGTGGCTGGACCATGGGTGGGACCCCCTTGGCCTGGGTGGGTCCTGCTAGTGCATCCTCTCCTCTCCAGGGGATGATGTGCGTCAGTACCTACGTCAGTACCTGATGGGCCCTCGGGGTCCGCCGGGGCCACCAGGAGCCAGTGGAGATGGGTCCCTCCTGTCTTTGGACTATGCAAAGCTGAGTAGTCACATTCTCAGCTACATGTCGAGTAAGTGTCTGCAGGAGGGGTGGCTGGGAAGGGCGTGGGATAGCTGGGATGAGGACTCGGCAGGGTGAACTTCCCCATGATCACCCCACTGACCCCCACCTGCCAGACTGGACCAACCCCACCAGTGAGCAGTGCTCAGAGCTGTTCAAACCTGTGAGCCTGGGGCAGGTAAAGAAGCATGGCAAGAAAAGGGGGTTACAGGCACTGTCTTGTGTGAAGTCTACATACAACTCTCTCTCTCTCTCTCACACACACACACACACACACACACACACTCACAGAAGAATGAAGCACACAGGCACCTTGACCTGCTTCTCCAGCCCCGCAGAGCCCTCCCCTCCTCCCTTGGTGTTCCTCCTCTCTGCCTCTCTTCCTGCCGTATCTCTTCTCTTTCTTGGACCCCACTTTTGTGCAAGCCTCCTCTGTGTCCGACCTCCTCTCTGACAGGTGTTTCCATCTGCCTTCCCCTGCCTGATCTGAATCCATCACATCCCTAGGTTCTGGGATCAGCATTGGGCTTCCTGGTCCCCCAGGGCCACCTGGCTTGCCGGGAACCTCCTATGAGGAGCTCCTCTCCTTGCTACGAGGTAAGGCCCAGCAGGGGACATTTGTCCAAGTGGTTGGGGAGGAAGCAGAGCCCCTTGGCCCAGGCCAGGACTGACTCTGTGCCCTTCCTTGATGTCTCAGGGTCTGAATTCAGAGGCATCATTGGACCCCCAGGTCCCCCGGGGCCACCAGGGATCCCAGGCAATGCGTGGTCCAGCATCAGCATGGAGGACCTCTCCTCTTACTTACAAAGTAGGGCACTGTGGAGTGGGATGGGAGGGCAGGGGATGCAGTCTGGCCTTGGGGGCTTTCTTGGGTTTTAGCAAGGGCAGTCCAAGTACTCCCGGAGCTGGTACAGGGCTCGGATTGGGGTCCTGGAGAGTGCCATATGTTCTGGTGAGGGGGCCTTCAGCTGTAGCAGGGACAGAGATGGGGAGAACTGGCATTCACAGGTGTAGCCCAGTGTGATGAGGGCCAACCTGGGGCTCCACCTCTCAGTGACTGGAGGGCTGAGTTGAATGAGGTTCAGAATTGGGAGTGTGAGGGCCCCAGGAAACAGCAGGCTCTGGGCCTCCTGCTGTTCTCTCCTCCCCTCACCCAGAGGCCCGGCCTTATCCCCTCCTTTCCAGAAAGGGCTCACAGCGCTCCAGCACAGGTTGGGAATTCAGCTTCCTCTGCAGCACGAGCCTGACCTTTCTTCCTCTTCCCTCTGCCCAGCTGTCGGCTTGTCATCCATCCCAGGTCCTCCAGGCCCTCCTGGTCCTCCAGGTCCTCGAGGGCCCCCTGGTGTCTCAGGAGCTCTGGCAACCTACGCAGCTGAAAACAGCGACAGTTTCCGGAGTGAGCTCATCAGCTACCTTACAAGTAGGTGTCCCTGATGGTGATGCCCTACCAGGCACCCCGCAGGCCTTGCTTCTCCCTGTAAGTGGGACAGGGAGGCCACACACGAGAGCCACCAGTGGGGTAAGCCCAGTTTCCTTCCACATCATCTTTCTCCCACTCAGGTACAAGAACCCTGAAGTTCACTTCCAGCCACTCAGGGTAGTTGACACCCTGGGAGAGACTCCCTAACTCTTTCTCTCCACTAAGATCTGAGCTCCCACTCACGCAGCTTCTTACCCTGCAGGTCCTGATGTGCGCAGTTTCATTGTTGGCCCCCCAGGCCCTCCTGGGCCACAGGGACCCCCTGGGAACAGCCGCCACCTGTCCACGGATGCCTCCCACAGTCGGAGCAGCAGCTCCTCACACAGCTCATCCATCAGGCGGGGCAGTTCCTACAGCTCTTCCATGGGCACAGGAGGAGCTGGTGCAGGCTCCCTGGGCACAGGGGGTGCCTTTGGTGCAGCTGCAGGAGACGGGGGGCCCTATGGCACTGACATCGGCCTAGGTGGAGGCTATGGGGCAGCAGCAGAAGACAGCATGTATGGTGGCAATGGCGGACCATTCGGGGCTGACTTTGCTGGAGGTCTGGATTACAATGAGCTGGCTGTGCGGGTATCAGAGAGCATGCAGCGTAAGTGGGGACATTTAGGCCTTGGTGCTGGGGAAGGAGTGTGGGAGCATCTCCAGACTGGCTTGCTTATTTGTGGAGCACCCAGGCTGTGAGGACAGAATCAGACAGGGAGGGACTGGAGAGGACAGGCAGCCCCAGCCTAGTTCTCAGCCCACTCAGCTCACGGAGCCCAAGCTCTGGGACCTGAGCTGTGGGGAACAGAGCATGCTGAGGGCTTTGTACTTTGCTTTCCCAACACCTAACTCGTTCTGGGTCCCAGATGAGTCATAGGGCCATGCTAGTTTTTCTGCTGGGGCTGAGAAGGACGTTGGCTAAGAGTCCCTTCCCTGTGCAGCTTAACAGCATGGTTACTCAGTCAACAAGCCTTTGATGCAGGCCTGCAGCAGGAAGAGACCTGTGTCAGTTGGAGGGCTTCACCCCTGCTGCGGCTTGATCTATTTCAACTGCTTTTGGGCATTAGATACTCGGAGGGCACTGTGTTCCTGCTGAAGAGGGTGCTGGGCAATCCCTGCTTCCTGTGCCCATGCTCTGGTGTTTTACAGGTCAGGGCCTACTGCAAGGGATGGCCTACACTGTCCAGGGCCCACCAGGCCAGCCTGGGCCCCAGGGGCCACCCGGCATCAGCAAGGTCTTCTCTGCCTACAGCAATGTGACCGCAGACCTCATGGACTTCTTCCGAAGTAAGGGCATCCAACTGCTTTTCCAGCACCTGCCTCATTGCATGGGCTCCCACAGGTCTGCTCCAGAAACACCAGTCTCATGAGAAACCTCCAGTTACTAACACTTGAGCCTCAAAATTAGATACATTCTATAAAATTCTGAACCTTGTTTCCTTACATGTCCAAAGTCCATCACTATCTCTCTTGTGTTCCTCTGAACAAATTACTTCATGTCCCAAGCTGCCACACAGTCACTATTCTAAGCCAGTGATTCCCTGCTTTTATAGCTTATGGAGCCATTCAAGGACCCCCTGGGCAAAAAGGAGAGATGGGCACTCCAGGACCTAAAGGTAAGTGGTGGCAGAGAGCCAGTCCCCGGATCCTGTGTAACTCCCACCTCCTACTGAAAAGCAGCTCCTGTGCTGGTGGCACACCGGCTACCTGTGCCCTCAGTCCCCAGAGTTATGCCCCATTTGTCCTTCTAGGTGACAGGGGCCCTGCTGGACCACCAGGTCATCCTGGGCCACCTGGCCCTCGAGGGCACAAGGGAGAAAAAGGAGACAAAGGTAAGTGTTGACTGCTGCATGTTTTGCATGTTCTGGAGAGCTGCAAGGCTGACGCTCAGTAGAAAAGCAGGTGATTTGTTCCAGAGCAAGCCTGAGACATTTTTCAGGCTAATGCCAATTACTCAAGGCAGACCCTGCGGAAAGCAGAATTTGCATAACAATCCTATTCACGGTGAGGAAGAAAAGGAGAGTGCCAAAGCAGGGAGAAAAATGAGAACCAAGCTGATGCTGAAACGGGCAAACGAGTTAAATAAATGGATAGTCTTACAAAAGACTTAACCTTTGAAGCCTTCTTCTCAGTGGTCACGGTGCCATAATTGCCCAAGCTGAGATCCCCACAGGACACAAGATATGTTTAACTTCCTACTGATTTTCTAACTTTCAGGTGACCAAGTCTATGTTGGGCGGAGAAGGAGAAGTATTGCTGTCAAGCCGTGAGCCAGCCGTGGCGGGACAGCTCCTGGACCAGTTCTCATCATGCAGTGGCACTTACGTCATGGCTCTCCAGAGGGTGAAAGCTGGAGTCTGTCAATGTCCTACTGAGACAGCACAGCCAATCTAGCAACACTTGTTGTAGTCTGAACAATATATACATATGGAATTCAGTCAAGGATACACAATCTGAACAGCTTCATGGGTGGACTCTAAGAGTAGTTGCAATGTTTTAGAATGAGACTTACTTCTCTGCTATCTAGATCTGAACTCCTTGGCTTCTTTACTTAGTTCAAGCCCCAGCCTAGGAAAGCTGGGAAAGTTGGGAGTCTTAGAGCTTTGCCTAAATATGAGCCCAGAAAAGGCAGGGTGGGGATGGGGTGCCTTCCTGGAGGTGACACTTAATGGGGTGTGTTCTGGTTACTGTGGCAGGGCTGTGCAGTCAGCTCCTTCCTCCCCTGTTCACTCTGCATTCTCTAGTCAGTTGGCTTGGAAGTGACTCTTGTAACTAAAAAAATTAAGAAATGCACTTCCCCTCTCTGAGTTGGCAGAGTTTCTAATGGTTATCATATATGCATATCACACTCCCATTTGCTTAGAAAGTCTGATTGCAGCTATGACTGTCCATAGGCCCATGCTAGAGTTCATGGATATGTTATACTGAACCAGGCCACAGCAAACAGAAAAAGGGTGAAGGGCAACGGGCAAGGAGGGAAGAATGGGGGGCGGAGTGGGGAAACAATACCTGATGCTGGGGACACAGCCTCAGCTCAAGACCCATCCTCTGTTCTGCACTCAGAAAACGGCACTTGGGGGACTGGGCGCAGCTGGTCTTTGAGCACTTTTTAATGTCTAAAACATTTGTGGTCTATCAGATGAAACTTCATTTCAACTGTAACATTTCCAATTAAAGTTTTTTTTTTTTCTTTTTTACTATCAGGTTTAATATGATTCCTCTGACCAAAGAAAGGTTAAAAAAATATTCTGGGTTAATTAGGTCTGACTATAACACTGTTTACTACAAACATAAGAAACAAACTGGTTGTATTTTGGGACACAGCTTCTGGTATTTCATTCAATCCCTGAGGTCTTTAAAGGCAAATCTTTGATACCTGCAACTATGAACTCAATCTGGAGATATTACAAAGCATATGCAAGTTTTCCCTAAGCATAAGTTATTTCGTGTAAACATGCAACAAATGAGCAACAAGATTATTTGCAATTAGGTAATGCTTTATCCTCGGCGATGGAATTATGATTGTGGGGCAAGTAATATATGAAATATCAAAACTATTAACAGAAAAATGTACACATCTCAAATGTCTCAAATAAATGCATAGTAAAATCAGACACTCCAATTCAGAAGAGACTATATTGGCCACTTTGTGAATTTGTTGTAAGTTATAACTCTCAAATTGCTGGACAATTAAAAATGGAATTAAATTACATCTACTTCTACACCGTTACTCTTCTAAAAAGACTGTTTATTTTCCCTAAGGTCTCTGCCAAGTATCTCATATTATTAAAAAAAAACCCACACCAGTAACTTCCTCTGTATCAGACAACTGCTAGCAGCAACAACCAGTCAAGCACTACACACTCTACATGGTCTCTTTGCCTTTTGCATCATATCCTAATAGTTGCCCGCTATCAGTCAATGAGAATTTTTTTAAAAATGAGGCTGGGTGTAGCAGCTCATGCCTGTAATCCCAGGACTTTGAGAGGCTGAGGCGGGCCGAATGCTTGAGCCCAGGAGTTGGGAGACCAGTCTGGGCAACATGGCGAAACCCTGTCTCTACTAAAAATACAAAATAATTACCTGGTGTGGTGGCGGGTACCTGTAATCCCAGCTACTGGGGAGGCTGAGATAGGAGAATCACTTGAACACGGGAGCTGAAGGTGGCATTGAGCCAAGATCTCACCACAGCACTCCAGCCGGCATACTACATCTCAAAAAATAAAATAAAAATAAAAATGAGTTCATACAGCCTCCAGATTTCAAACAACTGGAGTTTTACTGTCTAATGAAAACTACTGTGTATAATAAAGGAATACAATGTGCCTTTTGAAGAATTTTTTTCAAAAGAATTAAGTAGTTTTACCCAAAGGCTGATTTTTTTTACTTTTTAGTTGTAGTTTTTATTAAAAGTAATTTCCTAGCCAGGCGCTGTGGCTCATGCCTGTAATCCCAGCTCTTTGGGAGGCTGAGGTGGGTGGATCACAAGGTCAAGAGATGGAGACCATACTGGCCAACATGGTGAAACCCCGTCTCTACTAAAAATACAAACATTAGCTGGGCATGGTGGCATGCACCTACAATCCCAGCTACTCGGGAGGCTGAGGTAAGAGAATGGCTTGAACCTGCCTGCCAGCCTCCTGAGTAGCTGGGATTATAGGTGCATGTGAGCCAAGATTGCACCACTGCACTCCAGCCTGGTGACAGAGCACGACTCCGTCTCAAAAAACTAAAAATAAAAAAAAACTTCCAAAAAAAGGGGGAGATGTTTTGACCCTTTTAAAAAAGTAGCTTTAGGGGCTCAAGTACTATATCCTCTTTAATAGTGATCCTTCTGTTGATTGATCAGACATAGCAGTTTTCCCTTGTTACTAGATTTACCTTACTAGGATACCCAAAGTCTTCATAAAGTTTTATGCTCAAGTAAAATAGGGTACAAGTCCAAACTTACTACCTTCTCTGGACAAAACTCAGAAAGAGGATGGGCAGATATGAGGTTATGTCCTCAGCTAGATGGCAATGGATCTGAGCATCTTTTGTTTCTTTTTTTTTTTTAATTCAAGAATGAGTTCGATAGTTCGTAATGCTCCCTGATTAGAAAATGACACTCCATGCCTCCCTCCAGCTGGACACATGCCAAGTGATGCTGGCTAGTGTCTACTGAATCTTGCATGAATGTTAATAATGACGAAGAGATTATTTTAGCCAAAGTGAGGTCATATGATTTGCGAAATACTTAGTGAGAAAAATCATCCAACCCAAGGGGGGAAAGAAATTTAAAACATACACATATAAACATAGACTGATAGAAGTATTTTAAGCACCTCCCAAAGGAGGGGTTTGCATGCTGAAAGACATCCCCCAGCAAGTTACAGCTAAAAACTCGATTTGTGAGTGTGTGCTTCCGTGTGTGCTGTGGACTACAGACAGCTAGGAATAAATACTATGTCCGGAAGGTCAGAAGACCTGGAGGACTGCAAGTTTTACAATATAACTAGGACCAACAACTGCAGAGTGTTCTCAGGCAGGACACTCCAGTTTCAAAGATTCTCAATAAAAGACTGCTTCCCAAAATTGATTAAGAAATAACTTTATTTTTCATGTGTCAATCCCATGATTGAAAAGACATGTTGCTCCCAAGTAGACAAGAGGCATAATCTGAAACAAAATTTCTGAAAATTTAGCTTATGAACTCATTACACTGCAAACCAGAGGAGGAACACAAAAAGCTGCAGCCAACATTTAAACCTGGCAAACACTCTACACCAAGATTAGTAGCAGGAATGTTAAAGCTTTATCAAAACCATGTCAGCAACAGAACAGCAACCATACAGCCATTAACTGTTGTGCCTTCAACTTAAGAAAAGCATTTAAAGTATCACCCCATTTCTTATAAAAATCATTTCTCAGAAAAGAATTGTTCACGAAAAGACTATTAGAACTGGAACACTCTTTTTTCACTTCAGTTCTAGATTTTCTTTAATTAACAATATCTCTAGTTAATACTTGGATAGAATTTGGCTTCCCAGAAGAGTCTTTGTCATTTAAGCACAGTGTGGAATGGGAAAAGTGTGTAGTTACAAGGAAACTGGAAGAGTACAAAAAATAGTCGCTTCTGAAACTCGCTGATGCTCAAGAAATCAGAGACCCTCATTAAAGTGGGTCTCATATGCCTGAGAGCTTTGTGCTTGAGGAAATATGACTTAGAGGTAGCTCTGGTTCTGGTTTATATTTAATTACAATTTGCTGTATACTGTCACAAGAGAGTTCTAATATTTTCAGCAAAGTAAAAGCACTCAACATTTTTTTCTTACCCACCCTATAGCTTCCCCACAGAAAAACGTAAGAAAAAGCTTAATGTGACTCCACAGAGAATAGCAGCTAATTCAGCAATTCACACCCTATGGTTGTTGACAGGAGGAAAGGTGGCCGGATGCCCCAAGATCTAGGAGCTGGATCTGCAGAAGTGTGCAGGTCTGGTGTGTTCACAAGTCAGGGAAAAGAGGGGAGGTGACTGATGAGGGTGTGTTTCATGGCATATTCTGCCCAGTAATAAAACAACCAAATCAACAGATTTGACTGTACTACTTGATTTCAAAGAAGTCTGTGCCCCTCGCCCACTCCCCACCTAATGCTTCATGCTAGAAAGATAGATCACTATCATCTATTTGTATACAGGACCTCACAAGAGGTGGGCTGGTCTGAGTACTAACAGCATATTTTAGAACAAAACACTTTTTGAAAGGATTTATAAAACTTTAAGTATTAAAATGAGTGCTTTACCTCTACATACGTATCACTGTACATTCCTGCACCCACACGAACATGGTCATATTTGAAAGCGAACTCAAGCACGAACACTGAATCCAAAAGGCAGTTTTAAGGGAGATCCAAGAGTTGCTACCACCTTACCCCAGCGTCAGCCATTCCACTCTCAGCCTCTCTCCTTGAGTCAATATTCTGAATGTCAAGTTGAAAGGAACAGAAAGAATCAAATATTCAGATCAAATTAACAGGCACCACAAACTATTTAGCACAAAGGGTATCAATTAAATGATATTGGAAAAAAAAAGTCTACTGCCTGAAGTATTCATTTTTTAAAAGTCAGTAAACTGAAAATTTCAAAGGAGAAAGTGGTATGAAAATCTTCCTCCCCAATCCCTCTTCAAATAAATCATTAAATACACTGGGCAACATTATACTGTTATTTTTATCATAACAATATAAACAATTTTTATCATCCTCAATATTACTTTATAAAGATATATATTTTAAAAGGCTTTCAAAACATTTTTCAACCCAGCATTTGAGAATAAAGCATTAGGAGTTTTGTATACAGTAACACATTCATGTGATGTGTATGAATTTACAACCATACATAATATGTATATATGTGTATATATTTATATAAAAAACAAACTTGGCCAGAAGTTAAGGCTACCTACAAAGCTGTCCAATTATGCTTGTCAAAACAATTACAAAATTAAAATCGCACATGCATTTTTAAATCATCTAAACCACTGACAAAATAAGGTTCGGCATCCAAAGTTTTCAAATTAACTGCAAGAAAGTGCTACAGACATTTACATTTTCTAAATATGAATCAGTGATACCACAAAGTTACATTTAAATTTTTCACCAGCCTCAAAAGTAATAAAACTAAAAACAAACTTTCACAATTTGGTACCTAGCACTCTTAAGAGCAAATAGGTTGAAAATGGCAGGCAGCAAAGCAAGCATCATTTACAAATGTGCTGTCTCACACAGCAAAGTCCAGTTTATAATACTGTCCGACCTGACATGTGGTTGAAATTCTAAGCCTCATACGGGACTAGGAGTGAACATTTCATTAATAATTATACACATCAGCAACCACATGATAAAGGCTTCCGGCTTTTCCCACTCAAATCAAAGTGAATGATTTAAACATGAAACAAAATAAAACCAAGATGTGAGTAGCCTCATTTCAAGATAAGGAAAAGTAATTTCTGACATTTGCCTAAATATAAAAAAAGTATTCTGAACAAATGCCTCTTTTAAGATTAAGTTCAGAAGACATATTTATAAATATAACTCAGAGCCTGCAGGCCTGTAACAGTTTTAAACAATTTGCTAAGATGGAGAGAAATCATTTAACCAGCTTAGGTATTATTTTAGAAAATAAACAGAGACAGCTAAATCTGTATTCCTTAAATTTCATGAGTTCCACATTTCCAATTTGCAATCTAAAAGCTACCTGTTTTTTTCATCTTTCTAAACTTTGTACATGTATTTTAGGATGAAAATTTCTATCAAATGGCAAGAGAAGCAAAAACTCCAAAACAATAATGTTTAATTCTAAGGATGTTTTTGTCCTCGGTGACCAAAAAGAAAATCCTACTTAGGACTTGACCGAAATTTAGTGTTTTAGGCACTATCTTAAGAAAATTAGCACCCTCAATTATTGGCTTATGCCTAAAAGAGGTAATTCATTTTGACAAATCACTGAAATAATTTTTCTCTTTTAAAAGAGGTTGATCCTATTTAAAGATAAAATATATTCATTTACTGAGTCAATAGCATATTTTGAGCAAATCATAGCTTTTTTATGAGAGCTGATCCACCAAAAGAAAATGATCCCAACTCCCTATAGCAGAGCTTCGACTACAGATTTAGGCATCACTGAGAAGTTAAGTCAGGTAAAGAGGATTTATTAATACTTAGTGATGGAACAGTTTTTCTTAAATAACT